GGGTCAGCTAGCCTCTCCACAGGTGAAGCTGTGAAATCACAGATGTTAATGGTAAATCATCAAGATGGACCCAAGAAGGAATTTTACTCTATACCTGAAAAGTTGCATAGTGCAGCTTTAACATCAATGTAAATACATTTCTAAAACTACATGATTATATAGAACACAGTAGTGGCCATATTTCCACAAGAGTTTCTCCTGAAAGCTACAGCAAATCTAAACTGTCACACTAATAGTACAAGTACAGTCTCCCGCAGCCCAGAACAACAAATCTTATACTTTGTGTTTAGGGTGGACTGTTCGTCATTTTCACATTCATAATATACAACCCTCAGAAGGTGCAGCTACTGCAGTCCTGATGATGTAGTGCCAGATACTATTCATATACCTTTACACAGAACATAGTAAAAAAGATGTGGTTCCAAACTTTTTACTGTTTTACAAACAGTAAAAAGGCCCATCAATATTCAAATAGTTCCCAATTAAAAAAAAATTTGAATGGCCCAGGGTGCACGTGTGAGTTTGAGTTGGGGTTTGGAACCGTCTGGGAATCAAAATCCCCCTAGTTTGTCTTTCCACTCCAGGGGAAAGAAAAACAGGCACGGCTGATCTATCAGAGGGGATGAGGGGAGGCATGCCGCCCCAAGTACTGGTCACAATGACGACCAAACTTCATGGCTCCAAGTGCACGGGAAAAGGCCTCCCCCTGTTCGGTCACAGGGAAGAAAACAGCTCTTCTCCCCCTGACACTGGCTCAGCTCCGCAGCATGACCGCCTGCCAAACCCAACAGCAGTCAGACTTGAAATAGACCATGATTACAAAGTATCTTCATCAACATCATTAAAGCAAACCTCTGTCCCAAATGTCACTGCATCCTTTCAGGAATAAACTATTTCAGTAATTAACTTTGCATTGTGCCAAATGAAAGAAATCCAACTTCGTAATTTGAAACATAAATTAAATAGTTGTGACAATTTTGCTCATGCCAAGTCTATTTCCTCTGATAGATATAACCACAGCTTTGTGCTAGAGACACTGCAGTCGAAATCCGGTCGGAATAAAAAGTGATGTATGGTTTAAAGGGGTAGTGCGTGAGTACTTTTCCTGTCCACTCCAAATACAGCTTATGGTGGCACAAGTCATGGCACACGACTCTCTAAATTTAAGATGAGGAGGAAACATTGGTCTACATGATCTCTCCACAATGTCACTTTGAGAGAGCTGGCTCGAGTGCATGGCAAAATGTCTTCCTTTTAAAAAAAAAAAACACTTGATCCAAAGCCCAGGATCCAACGGCCACTTAGGCTTCGTCAGGAACCTCAAAGTGCACCGATGGCAAAACCAGACGTGGAGGTTTGTGCTCTGGCCCACGATAGGTCATGTCTTGTGAATAGCAGCTTTGGTTTTGGCTACGTTAGTCATAACACAGCCCCGTTGTGGTCCCTTCTTGATGATATAAACAGATGCCTTCAGTCATGACAGTGCCAGCAAGTTCAAATACAATCACATGCCCCACTTCCTGGAATGTAGACGCCTTTGCTTTTCTTCCTTAAGTCAATGAGCTGGCTGTACAGAACATAAACAATGGTAATCAATCACCAGAAGCAACCATCAGTCAAGCGGACGGTAAAAAAATTCACATATTTTTGAAAGTTAGGAATAATTGAAAAAATAATAAAACATTGACGATTCAAGATAACCTGAATCAGAAGCTAATAGCTCTACACACTATCCATTAAGTTTAAAACCTAAAAATACTAATGTGGAAGAGTTTTATCAATGGACTTATCTGGTTGGCAAAATAAGTACTACACCAGCACAGGTTTACACGTCGTCTGTGTGGAAAAACCCCTCTGCAATGCCTTGTCTCGTCCATCTCCAGAACACAACGAGAAGTCTGTGTGACGCAAGAGAAAAGCAACACCAGCTACCGCCATCACAGCCACCATTGTACCAGGCTTTTTCTCAGGATATCCAACGCTGTGGAAAAGGGGGGATCCTGTTGCTCATCCCACTTTCCTCACTCTCAGAGCCAAAACAAGAGTGGAAAAGCTTTTTTAATGGGCTTTCAGTGAGAATGATCACCTGATACTGCAACGCTCGGCCTGCACAGAGGGGCTTGTTGTCACTGTGGCTACATCTTAGAGCTCATTGGACTGCATTACACCGACCTGGCAAGCAGTCACAACAATGTGTCCAAACCACGACCTTTTCCTGTCTTTTCCACACTACTTTCTGTAGCTTGTATAAAATACGTGTTATGCCTGTTCCATTGGCAAATCTTATAAAAGAAAATCTCAATGTACTAAATGGACAGAAGACTATACTTAATTCAAGCACTTTAATAAATACATAGTATGTAAACATATTACTCATTTGTAGCACTAACCGGTGAGAGAAAAACAAGAGAACAATTAAACGCAGACTATAAAAGCAGTAGAGTCATTCTGTTCATGTATATATTGCCAATAAGGCAGGAAATCACACGATCAAGATTTTATATGACACATAGTACAGTGCCTTGCGAAAGTATTCGGCCCCTTGAACCTTTAAACATTCCGCCACCTTTCAGGCTTCAAACATAAAGATATAACATTTTAATTTTTTGTCATGAATCAACAAGTGGGACAAAATCGTGAAGTGGAACAAAATTTATTGGATAATTTAACCTTTAACAAATAAAAAACTGAAAAGTGGGGCGTGCAATATTATTCGGCCCCTTTACTTTCAGTGCAGCAAACTCACTCCAGAAGTTCAGTGAGGATCTTTGAATGATCCAATGTTGTCCTAAATGACTGATGATAAATAGAATGTGTGTAGCACCTCACTGAACTCGAGCTGTTTTGCAAGGAAGAATGGGCAAAAATTCCAGTCTCTCGATGTGCAAAACTCATAGAGACATACCCCAAGCGACTTGCAGCTGTAATTGCAGCAAAAGGTGGCGCTACAAAGTATTAGCGCAAGGGGGCCGAATAATATTGCACGCCCCACTTTTCAGTTTTTTATTTGTTAAAAAAGTTTAAATTATTCAATAAATTTTGTTCCACTTCACGATTGTGTCCCACTTGTTGTTGATTCTTGACAAAAACAATTTTTTTTATATCTTTATGTTTGAAGCCTGAAATGTGGCGAAATGTTGAAAGGTTCAGTACTTTCGCAAGGCACTGTATGTGGCTCACATGAAAATTAATTACAAGTTCACAATATACACTTTTATCTACCTTTACAACTGCTTGCCAAGTTTCTATACGTCACTGGTTTTAAGAGCCAAATACTTTAATTATCAAAGATTTCTGTTAAAGAGAAACTCTTTAAAAAGTGTAATTATTATTATTTTTAATTTTTTTAGGTATTACACCATGATATTACACAATCTTACAATAGCAATATTGTATGAGTAAATACCAATATCAATATTTTATACCTAATTAACACATTAAAAGCAAAAAGTGTGAATGGGCATCAGTTTGACATCAAACAAAAAATTATGCCGTTAGAATGGCAAAAAATAGGTGGTCCAAATGTCAAATGGAAAAACCTTTTACACAAAAGGGTGCGTTCACACTTGAGTCCCAAGTGAACCAAAGAACAAAGAGAAAATACTTAATTTTTGGAGATGTGAAACCACCAAAATGATGACAGAAAGAGTGTTCACTTGTTCGGGGATTTCACATCTCAACAGATGATGCATTTTTTTCCCAATTGGTTCACAAAAAGATAAACTCCGGTTCACTTGGGCATGAAGGCTGAACACACCCAAAATGTAACCACCATACATTGAAAAGTTTAATTTGTTTGATTCAGAGGCTGCTTGTGTCTTTCTAAAGGAAATAGAAAGGCTGCAAAGATTACAATGCAGGATCACAGCAGCCAAATGACAGGCCCGAGTTACATCACGGCTAGACTTCTCAGATTGAAAAAGATCAAGGCTCGAAACATAAACCAGTGCTTCTGCAGCCTGCACACAGTGTTACAGTCCATTTGCCCTGAAGATCGCATGTGAACACAACAAAAGTCCCAAACTGGATGAGATATTTCAAAATGGGATCTTCTCAGCTGGCGTTTCAGTCGGAATGTGTGAATGTTTTGAAGTTCATACCCCTGCATACTTTTTACTTATCCAGAAGCTATAAAAATGGATGGAATTCCTCAAGCCATTACAAAAAGGTCTTGATTGTTGTTTCTTTTTCTGCTCTGTCGTCCTCCATGTCGTTACTGGGACTCAATCTTGAATCGCTTGAGCATAGCTGGAATAGCTAACGACAAACTTTCCCACAACAGCTGTATAGTGAGGTCAGACGCTCATTCCCCTCTTGGTTTTTGTTTTTGGAATGATAAATAAGTACAACATAGTTCAGCCAACATCTGCTGATAACCTCCAGTCTACACTTGACTGTGCGATTAGTGAACTGGGAAACAAACCTTTTCAACTGCCTGTCTCTGTGGATGTGATTATACCATATGATGCTTAGGTCAGCGACTTAGTTCCAGATCATTATCATATTGATCTAAATGAACGTAATAAAACAATAAATCCACGGTAAAGCATTATTTCAGTGGAGAAGCAGGGGCAGCCACAACATCTACATAACGCACTGTCTTTGGTCTGTCAACTCAAAAGGTTACACAGCAAGGTCTCTTTATACATGACATTACTTCCTGAGTGAAAGGGCTGCTCGCTACTGAACAGTTGAATGTCAAATCATTTTAAAACACTGACCTTATACACTCTGGGAAACATAAATGTCAAACCTTCTCTGCTTCCTGAGGTGATAACCGGAGCATTCGAAAATCAAACACTTTGCGTTAAGTAAACAGCAGATACAAAGCAAAATGTCCGTTTCTTTTGACTTTATAAATGACAGAACAAGGGAAGCAATTTCCTTTAGACAGCGGCCGACTATTCTCATCTAAGAATTGAGACATACGGTACAACCATAAAAGCAAAAGAAGGATTTACAGCAAGAAGCTTAAGTAAAGAAAGAAGATCTAAACTAACCTGGGACAGCGGTCTGGACAGTCTGAGGCCTCTGTCCTCAGGAGACCATGAGCGCATCTGGACACTAAGTGAGGAGAAGAACATATTATTTAGAAAGAAACAGAAGCAATATAGAACTCTTAACATGATTTGACTTTGTATGTATGTATTTTCATTGCATTTTGAATTGTGTGAGTGGATACAGTGGATAGGATTGGATCACATTAGCAAGACAACTTGTGCATGTTTTAGGAAGAATTCTGATAAAGGACAAACTGGGACTATTTTGAACAGACACTGAAGATGTCGACCGATAATCAGTGCTGATTATTGGCCAGCCTTCTGATCGAAGCAAGAGAAACAAATTAGTTTGTAGATAAACATTTATTAGTCTATTGCAAAACACAACAGCAGTGTTAACGCTCATGTTGTAACACAGGCCTACTTTCTGTAAATGTACAAAGCACCGTCTGATGAGATTCATTTGTTTTATTTGGTCCAAATTAAATGTTTTTTGATAGATTAAACAACAGGACTTTTGATAAAATCACATCAAATCCAAGCCTTTTACTCCCAATTGTGAAAGATCTTAATGTAACTTGTGAAGTGCACTACATAGATAACAAGTATTTACTTCTATCTAGACCTTTCCACATCAGTCCATCGGGCCAGTTTTGCTGTTATAAAACATCCAGTCTAGTGGGAGTGTCTTGTTTTGCTAAATCCATTTGTTTAAATGCCTGAAGAATATGTTTAAATGCTGAAGTTTGTCCTATTGAACATTTTGCCATAAATATTTTCACTTTTACTGCAAATATCCTTATAGAAGTAGTTATCGGCTACTAATGATTGTATTGGTATCGGCACTGAAAAAGTCTATCTGGAACAAAATACATAATAAAAGTAAGCCGGTGCAGAAGGGCCGCAGTGAAAGTTCCACGCTTCCTTTTGTTAATGTGAATAAAACTGTGGAATGTGATATCCTGTGCATTTCCTTTGTTCCAACAGTACAGTCCCCTGGCTCCACTATCGTCCGTTTTCCTTTTACTTTACAACAAGCCTTTTGTGGACATTAGTGCAGAGGTTTTATTACACAAGTTGCTCAAACCTTTCCCCCATTTTATTTATTTATCAGCTATGAATTGTGGTTATTATTATCAGTGGTTAACATTGTGCTGTTCATGTTGTGTTCAAATATTCACATTTCCACAGTAGCGACAAAAGATTAATACCTTAACAAGTTACTAAAATGCTGCATTGCAAAGCAGGTGTCAAAAGTAGTCATCTGGATCAAGTTTTCCACGTACTGACATTCTTCTTTTGTCTTTTACTGTCCTTTTCTCAAATAATGAAAACTTGGACCTGAAGACTACTTACGAAACCTTTCATAGTAAATAATCCTTCCATCAGTGTTTAGTAATATCACAAATCCAAAATATGCCTCGTTCAGTGTTATCCCCAAACAAAACAACTTCATAGCAGTACCCCTTGTGGTTGTTGTTGGGACTCATGATTTTTCCATTGGGACTTGCAGGGGGGTCTGGGGAGTAGGGTCCAGGCGACAGGGACGCAGGACTGTACTCTCTGTAGTTCTGATTCTCATCACGACTCACGATTAAAGACTCCTGTGGGAACATGACAAAGGAGGTACAACATACTGTGGTTAATGGCGTTAGAACATTATCAAAAGGTCACATAAACGAAGACTCTGAACACGTTGAAGGTACCGACCTGAAAGCGGCCGGTGAGCTGCTCCGGAGAGTTGACGCCATTGGTTTGTGGGAGAGAAGGAACATCAGGCCTTGAAAGAGATATCGGTCATTGTCAGCATCACATTTATCTACTCTGAAGTCTGATACGTATGAAAGTCACACAAACACCTACAACTGATACAATTATAGTCAGTTTAATGTGCAATTCGGACGCTTTGAGACATGTGGGAATAACACAAATATGTATAAATAATTGGTTTGGAAGATTTGTGGAAAGTTAACTTCTGCTTTAGAAATATTTATACAGGGTGTCCTCACTTTCCAAACGTTACTTTGCTTTACAGCACCTAAAAATAAAGCTTACTTTGTGCGCAATGCCATTGCAAAATTTTGAAGGGGAAAATGAGACGTGAGCGCCAATGCAAACAGCGTGGCCCCCTGGCTGCAGGGCCAGCGGCGGCCGGCTCTGGGTTGAGCCCAGTGTAATGAAGCTCACAGGAAGCCCTACATGCCTGTGGTAAATCACTCACAAGCACAGTTCTGCTGCATAGAGATGTCTTATGTTTTATGAAGCACGCACATGCCTTACTCCTGTGGAAAAATAGATTTATGTAGCAGCAATTTGCTCTGATTTAGACATGTTTTTGACTGAAAATGACTGAGCAGGGACATGGAGCCCTCTCCCCGACACTGCAGAGTGCTGCTCAGAGCCATCATCGAGACGACCTGCTGTCACTCTGCCCCGGGGAGATTCTTAAAGGTTTACACGGCACACATTCCAATAAGAACCAAGAATTTTAATAACAAAGACTCTATTACGATGTTTAGGGAGATTATTTTAGTGCAACCTTTAACTGACTGAGGGTTCGGCTAAATAAATCTTTGATAAATCAATTATTCTTTTGATTTTCAAATTGTTTGAGGGAAAATGTCACATTTCCTTTCCAAATTGAGCCAGTTGAAGCAGAAGTGAAGCCACCAGAGAACTTCCAAAACCTAAATATATAATTAAAAAAACAGACATTTGGAGAATGCCTTTATTCATTTAATGTTATTGGAGTCATTTTCCCATGTAGATTATCATCAAGGGTTCTCCTTTCATGATAACCAAAAGTACATTAGACAAACAAAACACATGAATGACCACACAGGTCCTTGAGGGTAATTTATCAGACTAGGTTCAATGCCGTGTGTTCTGGCATGACAAATGCATAATGAAGTAAGCTGGGAAAAATGGAAAATATGAAGATTCCTCAAAAGGGGGCAGATGTCGCAATCTTATGTGAATATATAGAATCTACCCACGGTCTACATCATTCACACACAATTCTGCCAAATTTAAGAGGAGCACAGGAAGAAAACATGCAGGCATTTCCCCTGATTGCAATCGCTAGTTTGTGTTTGTACAGAACAGGCATGATAAATGAGAATGTTATGTTTGAGAGAAAGACCTGAGAACAATGCGCCACTGACTGAACAGACACTATGATGGTCCAAATGAACCTCAATACACCAACTGTTGTGTCTCACCACCACCTGAGAGCAATAGAGGAGCCCAAACAACTTATCACTGAAGTACATTTGCATCAGTCAGCCCCTGGGCATCAGTGGCAGAAGCTGATACCCATAATTTTAACAAAGATTTTATGACAACATACCTCTCAACAAGCAGCTGCAGTTGTGTCTTTGAGCTTTTGATCTTGTTCTGTGCCTCAACATTCAACATGTCGGTGGTGTTTTCTCCATTTATCTCTAATAGAATGTCACCAGGGAGTAGGTTTGCTTGTTCAGCCTTACTGCCCTGATTCACCTAAGGAAGAGACGACAGATTAATTAATAGAGCAAAGATGAATACAATACATTTGAAGTTACAGAATTATGAGCGATTCCATTAGGCCGTTTCTGTTGCAATCTGATATAAGGGTTGTAAATGATTAGTCTTAGACGTACAGGACAGGGCAGTGGTGGACAGCCGGCAGATTCACGACACCCTTGGGCAGAAGCCATTAGTGTGACACTACTGGATAGTTTAACTGTGCCTGATCTTTGACCCAAGGCTCGCCACATGTCAAAGTCAATGTTATATTTCCACATCTAAAGGAATTCCTCACTAATGGCTCAACCCCTTATGTCCCAGCATGGTCTGTCCATGTGGTTTTCCAAGGTATACAAGCCAGGAAAAGGGGCTGAAGTTTAAACACACACACTTTCACCATAACTCCACCGTATTACAATTGGACGAATTGAAAACCAAGCCACAACACTTCCAGAAAATGAATAATTTTGTAAGTCAGTTTAGCCGAAAACAAGTAGCATCTTGTCCCAAAGAAGAGCAATTAATAGTTGCTGTGGTGCTGCCCTTCAATACTGCGAACAGTTTCATTCATGGCACGCCTGGTTACACTCCAACCTAAAGCAGTCAGGGGGTTTTTATAACTAGACTGTGCCCTCCAATCCAAAAACACGTATCACCATGGCCAACTGGAATAAAGAAGGCCATCTATGTTGTCCAGTGCCAAGAACAGCCCCTTTTAAAACACAAACCCGACCAGACTGGATGTGCCGGAGGACTATAACAAAACAGACAGAATTTATAGAGAAATGTTCTGCCTCTGTGGGTGCCTTCGAGTCCGTTTGATATTTGAGATGAGCAACAATGATTTGTTTACTGGGCAGCAGTTACAAAAATTTGACATGAGGGAATAGGCTATATTTCAACATGTTTTCGGGGGCAAACGAGCCAAGAAAAGGAAAACTAATGTATTTGAAGCATGAGGATCCTCAAATCCAGGTTGCACATCCCTGCCAGGGTTTATGTGTAATTCATCTTTGTTCTAAAGGAAAATTGGATTCAAGACTTTAGTTTACAGGAGTGATGTGAGGTGGGCAGAGTGCATCTGGCACACAGAGGTCTGTCTGAGCAGGGTTTCCTGGAGGTGTTTACTGAACACCGTCTGCTTACAGTGGCATTGTTTCAGCTTCTTTAGAGCTCGACTTAGGAAAATATCATCAGCACAAACAGCATTCACGTGGATCAACTTTCGTTTCTACACGTGGTCTTGGTGTTCACATGTGGGGACACCCATTGGAGCAGGAGCCCCTCACCTCCCATTCAAACTTGCACTTATACTGTAATCACTAACTTCCTCTTAATGTAATCTACTTCCATCCATTTGTACAGACTCAGTAGTCAAGGAAAACGGTACACTGCGCCCGTCGAAAAAAAACAAAGGCAAGGAAAGCAATGTGAAAATGAGGAAGTTGACTTTTCATTGGCATGTCATTACAGGCGGGGCATGGTCCACAACAGAGGATATGGTTGATAAGGGGTGACAAAGTTTATCCTCGTATTGAAAGAATAAAATACCTTTGATACAGTTATTGCCTTCTTGAAGTCTCTGCCTCCGTATATTCGGAAACCCCACGGAGAAGGGCCAGTCAGGTTCACAATCAGCGACATCGCAACAAATGTTCAGCAAACTCTGAAAAACAAAGACGAGAACATATCTTCAGCCATTACATAATTGTGATATGTGAAACTAAGGCTGTAAATTGTTAATTGATTAATCACAACTAATTGACTGTTGAAAAGGTTGTGAACTAATGTAGTAAATTAATCACTTTCTGAACTTCCATAGACTTAAACATGCTGAAAAGAAGTTTATGACTCCAATAATTCTATACGGACTAGAGAATAAAATGATTTTTAGTCAAACAACCCGATGTGTTTGTCAAGAAATACATTAGTCAAACACATTGGGTTTTGTGTGTAACATTGGGTTGTTTAAGACTAAGATGTTCTCCAGGAGATTGTTTTGGACACACTTCACAGATCCTAGACTGAGTCTGGTGTGTGCATGAAAAGAAGTTTTGGCAAAAAGGACAAGCTCATGCAATTCACTTTGATAAGGTTAGCTTTCAAACAGGTTTTGAGGACTGAAACTAGTAGCTCAAAACAATTAGAAAACAAATTATCATCTTTTTCACAGTAAAGTCCACCAGGTGCCACAGTGGGGTGGTTGTGGATGTAAAGTGCCAAACTGCCATTGTGTCCTGTCCTTAAGATACTTCACCCATTGCCTGGAATAGAGGGGTAGATGGTACCGACTGGTTGCCTCTGGTGGTCTCCCCTGGGGCAGCTGTGTCTACACTACTGTAATAGTTTATCACCACCACCAGAGTGAGGGAATAAAGTCATGTGAAAGGAGGATGTGAAAGGCCTTATCGACTCTTACATTTAAATGGGACCAGTCGGCGGGTCAAGTGGATAGCGAGAGGTTATTAACACATAAATACCTGGAATTAGCACATTGATAAATCGAGACAAAAGATTGTGACATATCGCAAAAATGTATAACCTCTAAGCTCTGCAAAACATCCCAACCACCAACAGGTGCACAGTAATATGTTTTATCCCAGGGAGCATCACATTTGTGGTCAGTATAAAAAGTGCACTTTGCCAAAACCAGTTTTAGTCTTGGCAGTTGCAAAGGCACAAGAGGCACCACAAAAATGCACACAACTCTCATGCCATGCCTACCACCAAACCACTGTGCCACAAATGTGAAACTGAAATGCCTTGTGCATAATCAGGACAATAATCTAGTCATAAAAATATGAATTAAAAGGATTGAGCTTTGGACATGATATAAAGTCCTCTTCATCTCAAACAGCTCCTCTCAATGATTTACTCACAACTTAAGTCCCCTTGACAAGAATTGTGTAACCACATCAAATAGGAATGGGAAGAATCTGAAACCAAAAACACATGACTAACATAGCTTAAGAGCCTAAAAGACTGCAGATTCATGAAATGTTTTTTTGACATGTACAAAACTTTTAGGTGAAATGTCCAGCACAACCCATAGCATACTTCCTGCAGCCGTTCCTTCCATACATGCATATTTGTTCATATTGCATGTTTGTATGCAAGGCCGTGTATGAGGCTTGTATTGTAAGAATAAGCAGAGTTGATTAACGTTTTATTTTCATTGCATGACATTTAATTTTTGCTAATCGTGATTCCAACATTGACCAATAAGATAGCAATAGTGTTGAACGCAGAAGTAGCGTCTTGGGTCACTATTTGTATAACTTGAGACTTGATAATTAGGACTTGGGAATTGTACTCCCACTCACATGTGATAAAATGTAAGTAAATTCAAGAAACTCATTGAAGTAAAAATATGACCGTAACTGATGTAAAATACCCAATAAGTCATACAGAAGAGCCATATACTATAAAATGGAACAAGTCCTGGTTAGAATCGAATGAGAGTTAAAAAGTCAAACTATTGACATAAACAGTTCAGTGAAGTTTGGAAGATGATAATTATTTCAAAATGTGATTTTTTTTGCAATACCACTCTGGAGAAAGAATTGTCTTTGTGGGAAATGTATGAACGAATCATTTTATACCCTTCCTTAACAACCAGATGAGGCATTTTGACCAGATCAAACACAACAGCTTTGGCTTTTGACATTGTGTGTGGGTTGTGAAAACACATTACCTTCGGAATTACCCTTGAAATTAAATTTCCCAAGGCTAAATAAAACCAGACAACCACACACGTTCTGCTGGTCCCAGTCCCAAATGCAACGAGACAGTTGTTCTGAACACTTAACTTTGCTTCACACACTGCTGCATTTTATCTTCTGTGCATTCCTCAATTGCTTTGGACAAGCTCTCGTTAGCAGTGGGGGCCAATTAGCAAGAGTATGCGTCGCCATCACCACGCTCGTTTAATCAGGCTGGCCTCAAGAAATAAGTGAAGCTGTTATAATGACAGGGAGCAGCCTCTAGTGTCAATTAGTCCACAGAGCTGCAGCCGTTCCTCCTATAGAACATCCATCATGAGCCAGCTCCCTGTGTAAATGTGCTTTGTTAACACCATTAAAGCAAGGGCCAATGTCAAGAAAAGTGAAAGTTACAGAAAATCAACCTGTGTGGACCCTGTGTGGACCCTGTGTGGACCCTGTGTGGACCCTGTGTGGACCCTGTGTGGACCCTGTGTGGACCCTGTGTGGACCCAGTGTGGACCCAGTGTGGACCCAGTGTGGACCCAGTGTGGACCCAGTGTGGACCCTGTGTGGACCCTGTGTGGACCCTGTGTGGACCCTGTGTGGACCCTGTGTGGACCCTGTGTGGACCCTGTGTGGACCCTGTGTGGACCCTGTGTGGACCCTGTGTGGACCCTGTGTGGTGGATGGTGTGGCTTTTTAGGATCACACAATCACAGTAACTCTCATAAAACAAATTGCTGATCAGAGTTCAAGGAGATCACTAAAGCGAAACAAACAGAAGGTGTGAGCAGTTGTCAACGAACATAAAAGGTGAATTCTGTTCTGGTGACATCTCCCCGCTTTTGCTGCTACAACAATTTGGCAGCACAATTCAACACACCCCAACAATGGCTGGAATTCTAGTCATGAAGTCATCGCCTCAGCTGCGTTTGCAAAGGCTGAGCAGGTCCTAAAAGTGTAGTAAAATGAGTGAGTGCTGATGCAACCGGCGCATTATGTCATGTGTACTCAGGTCAAAAAGACACTTTGTTTGGAGAAAACCCAAAGCACCACAGTTTGGTATAAAAAATAAACCAAGCATCTTTCCCCAGTAGGGGTCCCACCTCGTTTCCATGGAGATGCCATTTTTTTTGCGATAATATGAGTATTATGTACATGGCAACATTTGTTAAACTATCTCTGCCCAGGGGGTAAAGAGATCACCAGCTTGTGTATGTTTGTCTGTAAGCAACATAACTCAAAAAATTTGAGAGAGGATTCAAACAGGAAACAAATAACAAACTAACATTTTGGTAGTGACCCAAAATACTATCTCAAGGCGGAAGTCTGCGCTCTACGGGAGTTTTTTTTAGTTGTTATAATAATGTTCAACTTGAGCTTTCCTCAGATCGCCTCATCAGGGAATAGACAACCTTATCTCATCTAGATTTATAGGCAATTAATCGGACAGTCTTTTGTGGGATTTAAAAATAGGTAAATATTCATAACAGCAAAAGACATTTAGAGAATTTCTAGTTTTATCTGCCTTCTTCCTTATCAAATTTTGTGGCATTGTCAAGGCCTTTTGGAATTAGGTGATACATAATCATAACCCTAATCATACAGCTATTCAATGATTCAAAGAGCTTTCCCAGCCTTAAAGTCAAGCACTCCACCTCACTGCATCTTTGAATTTGCTCTACAGCCGTACAGAGCTTCATCAAACTGAAGGAAAAGGTCACAGTTTAACACAAAGCCCAACACACCTAGTACTGATGTGGCAGCGTCACTTAAACACTTAAACCAAACATGTAGTTAGGTGTAATTTAGAGTAAATTAGGCCAAATCTGCTGAGTGTTAAAAATCATACGTGTTATTTTCTGAAGTGTTTTGCCCAGATGAGTCATGGGGCTAGATCTACATGTCAGAACAACACAGTCACATAAAATTACTAGAAGTCGAGAAGTAAAATATAAGTTAAGCATACTCATTAAACTTTATCACCTTGTTTGGATGTACAATCTCTAGTTAGCGAGAAGTCAAAATCAGAAAAATACTGGTGAAAAATGAGGTTATCAGGCGCTGCACATGTAGGCACGAGTTGTGGACTTTGATGGGAGAGAATCTCTGATGATCAATTATGGCCGGAGGGGAATATTCTTGCAATGAATCACTCTCGTCAAAAGCATTTGCTGAGGGCGAAAGACCAGTGCAAACTTCCCACAGAGAGGGAGTCGGCCATGCTTGGGCCCTGTGTCACCCGGTGCTCTGACAGGTCACCTTCTATACCTGGACACACACACCCATCCAATCAAAAGAGTATCGACATAATAGTGCCCCTCCCTTGCTCGAACAAAGTAAAATAACATTACGAACCCTTTATTCACTCCCGTTTAGCTGCAGTCGCTAAGGAGATGGGAACATGATCAACAATAACACATGTCAAGACGGGGTGTTGGTTGATGACTGTCTTTTAGTTTTATATCATGCAATCAAAACTAAATGGTCGCACAACAAGGCTTCAGCAGCAGAATGTTTGAGGTGACATTTGTGCCAAGACTTGGGCACCGTGTAACTGGCAACAGTGGTCTTCCCCTGCATAATCATCATCATCTGGAAATTACGATGCATATTTTAACCCCAAACTGACTCACCACATCCTCTGCAAGCACGGTTTTGTTTTTACACTTGAGCATTTGAGACAATGCAAATCTCATTTATATTTTTCAGCTAAATTGAAATCCCTCGTCTCCAGTGGGGCACACTTCTCTTTCACAGACTAAAACCACAAGCTCAAACTGACTTCCTGCACAAGTTTCAAAATTATGTAACAATAGAAAGAGCACTCTGTAATAAAAACCATACAAAAATGAAACACAAACAGAACATATTATTTAGGAACTCAAATAGAAGATTGTAAAGTTGTTATTTTTGTTATTGAATGCACAAAGTGGGAATAGATCGGCCAAACGTAGAAAGTACATTGGACACAAATGGGTGTCCAATGTCTTTCTGATTCTGACACAGTAGAAATAAAGTAAGCATAAACAATAAATACTTAGGCACAAAAGAAATAACCACAAATATTTTTTTTAAACTGGCTGGAACCTCACTCTGGGTCTTTACACAGGAGATCCATACTTCTCTATTGTGACACAAGTTTTGGACTATTCAGACCTATTCTTCATTCTTCAGTTTAAGGATTCACCAGGTGACTTAATGACATATAAACATTCACTTTTACTTTCCTGGGGTTGCGCCAGGTTCAGCCTTGTCCACAAATCACGTTTGACTACCTACAGTAAAAGAGTCAACCTTTCCTTGTCTCCAACACTGATCCTCCTTGTGTGGGCTTGCATTTCACCTCATCATCCACATTTTTAATACATTATCTTCACTTTCCACTGGAGCCATCATGCTTCATTAAACCACCATGATTGTAACTTCTCAAAGAGCTGACATTTTTACTTTCTCACATTCCCACACATGATATGCGCATCCACCTTGTCATACCATACGTGTCCTAATAATAGAGAAGAAAAGATATGAGGAATACAAGAGAAAACTCACCAGAATCTTATTGTTGGACGCAACAGCCCACGGAGTCCTCCACACCTGCTCAAAGTGCTAGAGCTTCTTCAGACACAAACCCAGGAGACAGGAGACAGCAGCAGCAGCAGCGGCCCGGGGCAAACACGCAAAAACAACAAGCAAAAGGAAACAGCCTGGGTCTAAATGTTCAGTGTGGGCGTGATGAGGGGTCCCTGATGCCGCTGAATATGGCTCCACTCGTGGATTCTCTCTTCACAGATGAGCTCGACATGCCATGTGCTGTCGCTGTGACCAAAATAACATTCTACAAAGGTACACTCCTGGCGGGGCGTGTCTGTCAGAGAGGCGGGAGTAGAAGAGTAGTGATAATTGAGCGCTATTTAACCTCAGACACCAGAGACTTTATGAGCAGCGGAACAGGGTAACAGGAGAGCGCCATCTGCCGGGGACTAGAGGTACTGCAGGTATTAGTGACGCAGCCTGGGCAGGTGTGTGGGAGAGAGGGGTGTGTCTGCAAAACATTACACATGTTACATTTACATGTATGGTATGGTAGGTTTGTTTATTCGGTCATACAAATTATATTTATTTATTTTATTTTATTATTATTATTTCTTGACATAAAAAGGACAAGGTTACGAAAACAATTATACGAACGCATTTGTGACCGAAGGGATTAGGCTGAAGTATAACTTATTTTTGCCTAATCCTATTCATAAAGTAAAGTCTCCAAAGTTTGGGGCAAAGCCCTTTCAAAATAGTAGCCAAACTAAATTTCAAGATCAGGAGAAAAAAATAAACAATAGATTTATAATTTATAATAGCATTAATAATTTGAGAAACAGTCAACAATTACTGATTAAAATATTATTCAGTCATGGAATTTAGCTCATGATTATTGTGGAGTCCCTGACTGGAAAGTTTGAGAACCCCTGCATAGAATTACAGTGAAATAATTTGGATACGCCTTTGTCTTCTAATTTAGCTAAACTTGACATAACACAGTTAACTGCTATCACACATTTGACACATAAGAAAAAATAAAACAAAAACACTAAACTACAGGCTGTGTACAACACTATATGTTTATTGCAAAAGCGTACCATATTTGAAATACATGGTTTTATAAGCAAATATATTATACTTTACGTTCGATCAAATGTTACAAATATACAATAATCTTTACCAACTTTCAACACTTTTTTTCCAAAATAGAAATGCTTTTTTTCTTTCAAGCAAATGCAAAACTTGTCATTGGTACATGAGTGTCAACAAAGCAGCATTGGCAGCCACATCTTTTGCTAAGTGGAAGGAATGATCAGTGTACAGGCACTTATTAGACAAATAATATAGATAGGCAACATTACACTGTCGACACAACGTTTTTCACATAAATGAGTCATTGTTATTTTCCAAGCACCAGATCAATATATTTCACAACAATAGGCCTTAACATTACGCTGTATAGTAGATAATGGCCTGCTCAATCATAAGACCAAACTTATCTTGTTAGAACATGCCCTCTTCTAAAGGCGCAGAAGCTGGTTCCCACAATCAGCACAGGGTTTTCCCTCAGAGATCTAAAAGTACGTACAAACAGTTCAAGTGAAAATACATTGACCAAGTGACAGTGATGGTGATGACATCATGGCACACATCACACAGTTCAAGGCAACAGTACAGTTCAGTGGGAAGAAATGACAATTTTCAGTTCTTGGTTTAAAAAAACCGGTATCAGTGCCATTACCACCATGAATTATTGTGAGTCTAGAATATTCTAGCTTGTGTTTCAATGTGTGAAAGTGTCTCATTAAGAAACCACACGGTGTCATTGTGATAAGTGCTGCATGCAAGAGGCGGAGAAGGTGCGCTGGAGTGAGAAACAGCTGCAGTGACGGGTCCAGGAGGAAGCGGAGAAACAGCGCTCAAACTGGAGATACATAGTTTCCAGGAAATGTCCCAAAAGCGTGAGTTCTTTCTGACGTACCTATAAAGACAAAGAAATTACAGAAATTAGTGCAACGGTTGGGTTGTATAGTATTTTCCCACAAGAGGGCGCACTTTGATCACAGGACACAATATTATGTATAAAGTGACCCGTATTAGACATTTGTAACATACATCATGTATAATACTTTTGTGTGTTCATTATAAGGATATACTACACTATTTGGGACATTTGTGATCAAAATATAACCATGTTGCATGATCATATCATGTCATATGTCATATCATCATGTCATATCACCTGTTACTTACAATGGCAATAAAAAGAATTCTGATTCTAATGAAGTTGAATCTTTACATACCTACAAACCAGCCATCGTCACACTTCTCCATCACTTGCACTATGTCGCCTTCTCGCAGCTCCAATTCATCTGAATTCTGTGGTTTGTAGTTGTAAACAGCTTTATACCTATAAATACAATTAGACAATAAGCCCACAGCCTGACTAATGAGGAATGATTTACTCTATAAATGTGAAGACGCACGGTTGACGGGGCACCGCTGGGGACCCTGCATTATTTGGTATATGTGATAGTGTGATGTTGGGAGCAGTTTGACGTATTGTTCCTCCCTAGAACAAAGGCATAAAACAATAATATATAAATAACTTTTTAAGATGTGCAGAGCCCCATCACATTCCTGAATTCACAAGCAGCAGCACTAGTGAAGACATGCTTAGATTTCTAGTGGAAGCAGACCTGTGTACGTTCAAAGTGCCTGGGAGTGTTTGAAGCTGGTGAAGTTGTGGCTCTGTGCACAGGCGACTGAGTGGAGGGTGAGACAGCTCGAGGTGTAGTGCTGTGGTTTAGTGTCCATTGACCGTTGGGTCCAGTCGGTGACGCTGTTCTCAGGCTGTGATTCGGCCACCTATAAGCGTCTTTAGGGACAGGCGTTTGTGAAGGAGAGCGAGGTGACTGTGGGCTTCCGTAGTGGACAGGTGACGTTTGCTGCAGTGGGGAATGGTCTGGTCTGGGGCTTAAGGAGTTGGGTGTAAAAGGAGACAAGGGCGATCGTGGTGAGTACAGAGGCCGTCCCGGGCTCTGGGGTCCCGGGGAGAGGGGACCAGAGGAGGGGTCGTCTGTGCTGTATTTTGTGCGGGGCATCTTGTTGACCTGCACGTAATTGGCCGGGAAAATGCCGCTACGATTTGTCCCTGAGATCCTGCCCTCTAGCCACTTGTCGTCGACGCAGCGGGTGATACTGATGACCTCACCCTATGGGACACAAGAACACAAGTGCAAAGGCCTGATTCATATCTGCTTAGAGTTCAGACTGGTATAAGATTCACACACAATGTTCCCACACAAGAGAAGTTGGTGACTGTAAGCTGTACTAGCTCACAGTTATCAAGCTCTTAAAGATAAGATAATCTCAAACTCCAGATACTTTAATGTTCTCAGCAAAGGCAGGCCAGTGTTCCCCAACCTTTCTGAGCAGTGGTACACCTTTCTCAAAACAATGACATGGCACACCACCAGCTGAAACTGCAGCCTTTATTAACATACATACAAACTGTACATCTTCCTCCCCTTAATCCATTTCTGGGTCAGGGGGTGGCAGTCAGAGCTGCACCCAGTTCACATAGCACCAGCCCCTCACTGACCCTCCTGCAGGTGGTGAGTCCACAGGAGCCTTGATCTTTCAGTGGGGGCTTCAGGCAAAGTGGGGTTAAGTGTCTTGCCCAAGGACACAACGACAGCAGGCATCAGTGGGAATCTTGAAGTAGGTCTTGTGGTGGGCTCGAACCCAAGACCTTCAGGCTCAAAGGCCAATGCTCTACCAACAGAGCCACTGTCACCCCACTGTCGCTTTTATTAACAATAAAATGTAATTCTCATCAAAGTAAATATGCGCAAGAAGTATAAGTATAAAAGATTTCGAAAGAAAATAAAAATCAGGGTGACAGGGGGCACTAAAATTCCTACAAAATGTGCCCTTTGTGAAAGCTCTAGGTTCCCTGTCATCTGCGGTCAAATCGAGATCTATGGCGAAAAATTCCTTACACCTCCTGTAAATTCAAGCTATAATGTTCATGCATGAGAAAGGTTAAAGCTAGCAATACCCTTTCCAGATAATATAATGAATCCAAGGCCACGCCACACTGGTTGAAAAACAGTGCATTGGCTAGGTGGGTAGTAGTAGAACATCACTTCACCCCTTGTGGTTGTCCCAATCATGTTTCACAAAACAATAAACATTGGCATGATATTTATTAAACGATTTAGGTGTATTGAGGTTTTATGAGATTGGCAAGCAGAGAGACAATAGCTGTAGGCTGCCACCTTTACCAATGGACTTTTCTATCTTTCCATCTTTGGGAAAAATTTTTGCCAAAAGTGAAAATGTTGTTCAATATTAAAATTGCAATAAAAATATATGTGCAGCCTTTCTACTCACCTTACGAAAAGACAGTTCAACAGGTAAGTCTGCATTGAAATTATATAGCGCCACAGCCTCTCCATAATCCAACACTTGTAACGTGGGTGACTTAATGGGAGTGGGTTTCTCAGTTGGAGCCAAGACCTGAGGAGCAAGCAGACAGTGTGACTTAGGGCCATTTAAACTAATAACATCACATCCTTGGAAACTTTTACCTCAACATAAGTTGTAGGGAAAATGCCAGCCCTCCCATGATGCTCTCCTTCAAACCAATTGGCATCTATCTGTCTATGGATGTAGACAATGTCCCCTTTTTGCAATGTGAGCTCCCTAAACGAAGGAATGAGGAGATTAAATTTAATTAAGTTTCAAAAACAAGTGATGTGAATTCCCAGAAATAACAAGGAAATGAAGAGAGGTTAGATGAATGGATATGAAAAAGTTGAAAAACAATATCTTACTTGGGCGACTGCGCTTGAAAATTAAACTTGGTTCGTGCTGCTTTCATCTGCAACACATCATTAGTTTGTGTTTAAGACATGCTTAAAGTTAGGTAAAAGAATATCTGCAAATAGTACCTTCTTTTCTTCCTTCTTTGGTGGGAGGGCCATGATTTCATTTGCAGGAGAAAGCCGATCTATTGAAATGAGACCATATTGTGAGCCGTAACACGCTGTAGGTATCAACCCCATTGTAAGGCTTGCTCAGTCTCAAGCAATTTCCAAGGAAAACAATTGGATAAAGCTAATCTCCACTTCCTATTTGCTTCCCCTCCAACATCCCAACAACCCACCACTACAAGAAAAAACATTATAAGTATTTATGCTTTCCTCTGAATGATCTTGTGTCTGAAAGTTAACAAAGTCCTCATTTACCATATGAAGGAGTCGAGGCAGGGGAAGATCCCACAGATCGCTGGTTTGGCTGTCTTGATGAAAATAAATGGCTGCAAAAGAAAGAAAAACGCCATTGTAAACGTTGATCACTTCGTCTTTGTATGAAGAATTTCCTTTGAGAAACACTCGGGCCATTGTTTTCAGGTTTACAAAACATCTGGTTACCACATTACATCAACATAACTTTAATCATTGTTCATTATTGCCTTAAGACAACCTTTTCCCAACAAATGACATAGCAAACATCCATTTCAACATTCATAGCACCTAATTTCCATGTCGTCCTGCGTCAACATAAGTGTATTCCTACTAAGAATTGCTTTTATAAGTCCCAATGCTGTTGTTTTAAATGGGCATTTCCTGAACACCATGCTGTGTAAGTGGTGTTTTCTTAAAAGGTCAGCCCTCACGCGCTCCTCTTTGGCAAATAACTGTGTGAGATTCCTCCAAGAATGTATAACTCACTTGGAGGGAGACATGGAATGCGGCATAAGCTACAAATATAGTATTTAAATGTGTTACAAGATCAAATGCCTTCCAACTGTGGGGGCAGCACACACTCAGCTGACTTGTATTATTAGCTGTTGCATCCAATCACATTGTTTGTTTGGCATCCAGCAGCACCTCAGATATGTGAAGATTAACTGTAAGTCCAGAATCTGTCTTGAGCCTTTAGCTAAACTTTTCTCCGATCAAAACCATAAAACTACAGTTTCTCATACTCAAATACAACAAAGTTACTAAAGAAGGTATATTTTGTAATACATATGCTTAACTACTGTATATAGCATGTAATCTACTCACTTATCAGTATCAGTCTTTGGTGCTGTCGTCAGGTGTCTTCCTTGGGGCTCCTGTAATAAGAACGCATGTTAATCCATGTTTGTTCCCTTCTGCATTCACTCCCGTGTGCATTCCGCCTTTGAGGAAATCTCACAACAACTCCGCAACAAAGTAGAGGTGCTGACCACTCCCAGAGGAGCAGAAGTCCCCTGGGTCCTATGTTCTCCATGTGCACAGTTCTGTCTGAGCTTCTACAGTGATTTGATTATGTTTACAGCTTATAAAGCAAATTGAATCAGGCAAAAGTCATTCACGATGAAGTTTAAATTAAGACTCAAGCAAAGGAATGTTGCTATGGAAGGGGAGGGAGTAAGCAGGCAGGCAAAAGAGAAGATGATTCATGGACAAAGGACAACAAGAATCAAAAGCAGGCATTTGGTGTCACGGATTCATGCAGGCTTCTTGTGGATCAAAGCAGAGGAACGACGTGGATGGGACAGCTAAAACAGGTGATGATGGGGGGAGGATGGATGGATGTTTGGGGCTCAGTACCTCACCCCGGGCAGGATGCTGCTTCTGCTTCTTCTGGGACAGTCTCCTCTCCAGGCCCTGGATCTCGGAGTCCAGCTCGGCCTCAAATCGGCTCAGCTCAGAGACAAGAGTGTCCTGAGTGTCCATGTTAGAAGTGTAAGGACCAAGTTAAAAGTTGGTGATGAAAGGCAAATGTCCACCCTACAATCCTACAATGTCCTGTTGAGACTGAGAATGAAAGTTGTTATCAGAGCTTACCTCAATTGAAGGTGGCTTTAGTTGTTCCGGCTCCTTCTTTGGGGATACAGGTAGATAGGTCTAAAGAAATAAATAAGAGGTCAAAACAGAATCCAATTATCATGGATTATTAGTCCTTTATATGACACCAAGGGACAAGACACAAACAGTTTGATAGAAAATCCAATCTGAATTATCTCCTAGGGAAATAATGGGGTTTAGACTTTTGGATAGAGGTGATACAATACATCTAAGTAACTCCTCACTCACTATCCTCACTAAAAGTTGAGACAGAAAAGCTAAAAAGAGAGGACTCACTTAGTCATTTAACTCTCAGACCAAAGCATCAAATAGTGACTCACTGGGCTCTTTTTTTTTTGCAAAAGAAAACATGTTTCTAATAAGATTTAAAAAAACTTCTTTGGCCAGATTTGTTCTCGATAAAAGTAAGTGAATAAATCTAAATGCAAATAGTTACCACTATAAATGTGAAGCAGAAAAAAAACACAGCTTTTGCCTAGGTCTGAATACCTGACTTTAAAAGGTAAGTCTGGCCTCTGATCTCACTAATAATCTTTTTGGCTGAGTATCCATCAGTAAAAGCCAAAATCCTTCTTCCCCCAGTTGGAAGCCACCGCTGCCGCACCTGATATGGTCTGCTCTAAATGCCGCTCAGGGAATAGAACATTGGCTGCCGTCATAAAAAGTGAAATGAAATAATCTCCATGCCGTGAGCCATTATACTCCACAAGAGGTTAACGCCATAATACGGATCACAAGATACCTCTCTTACTCCTGTGGGCGGCGAAAACAAAGATGCCTTTTCTTCCCTCACACTTACACTAGGCACAATATGCAACTGATCTGGGACAATGTTGCAAAAGAGCCCCGCACTCAAACACTTTAGGGATGTCTTTAATATGTAGGTAAGCACAGAAGAAGGTAGACATTACATCACTTAGCTAGAAGTTCCATGTGTCCATCCCTATGATTCAGTGAAATTACACATAAAAGCTCTTGTAATTATTGTGAAGTGTGACAAAGATAGGATGCTTTAGTGTGCACGTAAATGGAGTTTGCACATCTGGCGGTGACAACAAGTAGCTATGCAAACACGCTCACGAATTATTGCGTGCGAAGTCAAACAACATGAGCTAATCCTAAAAAAAAGATTGCCTATCCTAAAACTTCTAGTAAAATCCAGAATGAGAAACAATAGAAAACCGCAAACCGAAAAGGCTGGTTCAATGGATAAAAGTTAATGCCGAATGATGTTGCCACTGGAGCTCTTACCTGCTGGTTGGTCTCAGAAGCGGTGTTCAGTCCGGGCTCATAGTCGAAGATACTCTTTGGCTGGCGTGGTTGCTTGTCTGTGGTCTTATCTACGTCCGCGCTCCTGAAACATTACACCGCAGCACACACAAAAGTGGACAGCAACTTAATCACGGCTCCATTGTCAGCGCTTGTAACAGCAAATCCTAACTTGTCTGCCCCCTCAGCACGAGGCTTTAGAGTAGTAAGTGCTATTCATAAGAGACATATTGACAAATGTGTACAGTATCTTTGTAACAAGACCCCATTCAGTTATAAGAAAGAGCTTTTTCAACATGTTATGATCTCATTGCAATAACTGATTATCTGTACAGACAGGCAGCTGGTTCAACATGTGCATAACGTTTGTTATATTGTACTTGTGCAAGGACAACATAATTGACTCTAATCTATTTTAATTGTGTGTCCCAGGACACTCATGAACTCACCAGTCTGGTAAAGCCCCATGTGGTGTCAGTCTGAAGAGACTTGTGTCTATTTCATTGTTGTTTTCTGTGTTTTCTTGGTCGATTACTGTGAAACAGTGAAGGATTATATTTTAAATTAAATTACACTGAGGCTGTGGAGATATCTAGTTTATTAACTTACCTTGAGGTGACCACCGCTCTGAATCTTCAAAATCTGACTCTAAAATAAGAAACAGGATAGTATTCATTTATTTAGCCAATAAGCAGAAAGCCCCTTGAGATAAATCTATTTTTAAGGTAAACCTGAGCAGAGGTGGCAATAAACTAAGCATTTTTACACAAGTACTATTTACTGTACTTTACTTTAGTACTTATTGTTCGGACAACTTTTTACTTATGTGCCTTACTTTGAAACAGAACTATCTGTAGTTTTTATTTCTTACATATTAAAATATGACATAGTACTCTGCAGGTTGGGAAATTATTGATTACAATGTTTTCCATACCTGCACTTCTATGAGAATTACAAAAGTATCATTCAATTCAATTCTATGTATTCTTGTATAGCCCTAAATCACGATAGTAGTTATCTTGGAGGACTTTACAAAGTTGTGGATTTGCCAACACAAATCAGAGAATCAAACAGCTCACACACAGAGAACTGCAATAATAACAAACACATTGGAGCCATTGGTCCATGGAGGATGACAAACGTCCATAAATGTCCTTAAATATCCTTAGACCCTCCTGCATCGACATGGAACTCCAGATATCACCATCTGCGTCTTTGGCAATGATTTTAGGCAGACAATAAAATGCAATGTGTCCTTATCATGACCCCCTTCCTATGTATGCTGGATACAGGTGTACGGATTACTGCTTTTGATTAGTTTTCATTTTTCAAACTCCAGAATTGTAAAGCGCTTTGTGTGACCCTACTTCACATACTTACATCATTTCACATCATTTTTCAAGTCAAATTATATCACTAGAGATTAGGTACAATAGTGGAATAAAACTGTAGTAACTGTAACAGTTTCTTTAATTATATTGACATTATAATCTTTTCCCCATTTACCCTCTTAAGTAATGTTTTTAACAGGATCACCTCTTCAGGACCCAGAGATGACAGATGAGTGTGGGAGAGAGCATCAGGGGAGTGTCCTTACCCTCTGGCTTCTTGTGGATCTGCCTGAACATGCTCTTGTACCAGTCTCTGGGCTTGTTCACACTCTGACGGAGGAAGAAAATGGGAGTTACGCAAATTAAATTGTAACGAGATAAAACACTAATCCAATGTTCTTATAGAGCTGTGCTGATGCGGACTACAACAAGATCTCATATTACACCTGTTCTTCGGGGCTTCCACTGCCATCCAGTTCAGGCCCGAATTGCCTTTAAGATACTTATTCTTGCTTATAAAACCCTCCACAGTCTAGCACCTTTTTACTTCTGCCTTATGCGCGCTGTCTCAGATCTTTGGACCACAATCTTTTCCCCATGTGAGGCTGAAGGTGATGCTCCTCGTAAATGGAATGCTCTGCCTCATAAGTTTTAATAAGCTCTAACCTTAAAGAACTTCTCACCCCCGCTCCTCGAGGCTTACGTCACTCACATTTCCTTTTCAAATCTCCCTCCAAATGGGCGTAGCCTGGAGGACTAAAGGGGACAGGCGGGCGGGGGGTGAATGTTGGGCGGGTCTAGGCTGTGATTGACACTTGACAATAAATGCAACTAGTGACTAAAACTACAATATTCAACGCTATTAACACTACACAATTATCTATAATACAAACAGCTATGCTAATAAAAATCTTGCTAAGGGGGCGTGAACAAGACTGGGCTGTTCACGCTCACTGGGCGTATGACCAGGATATGTACACAACACTATTGGACACTCATTTATACTGTTTATCAGCACACAAAAAAAAGGTGAGTTGTTCTTTAAGCTAAAGAGAAAACTAAAGACCCACTTGTTTCATTTTGCTGATCCTTAGGCAGTGCTCTTATCTCTTGTTTGTGTTTTTGTGATTTGTTTTGTTACACTGTCTGTATAATGTGCATTGGGTATAGGAAATGTGCTACATAAATAAAAAAAATTCTAGTTATTTTCTGAACATAAGGGATTGATCTGTTCTTACTGATCTCGAGGCGATTGGCATTCCGGTCTCATCCACAGGACCAATTCCAGAATACTTGATCAGTCTTTCTTCTCTGGTGGGCGTCCGGCTGTGAGGTAAAGTGGTGGAGCTCCTGGTGCCATTGCTTAGGCCTCCTGAGTGAAACAGTGAGTGAATCACCTTGTAGTACTGAACTTCTCTGTTAAATTGTTTAACTGAAGCTGTATGTTGTATTGCATTGAAAATCTCAATAATATATACGTATAAGGGGCAAGGGCAGTAAGTGATGCTTTAAATAAATAATTATAATGTCCAAAAAGTCACAAACCATGAATACAGTGCAAATAGAGAATTACAAACATAAAATAATCATAATAACTTCACCTTTACCTTTTATTAAAAATAATAATAAGAATGACTATTATACATAGTCAATTTCTGTTAAATATTTTAAAGTTGATGTACTTGAACGATGTGGGCTGAAGTAAAGCCAAATAATTTATAATAGGGCTTTATGATATATGCAGCTATTACAATGTCTTTTTGATAGTATAATTATGTTCAGTATGTACATGATCATGTTTAAGAAAAAAAACTAAACATGTTTAAAGTTGTATTTATCTTGAACTGGGGTAAATAACTTTCACATTTCAAACATGTAACAAAATCCATCTTGTGTGTATTAGCTGGCCTTTGTCACATCTTTTTTTTTTTTTTTTTATCTTTTTATTGCAGTCTTTGAGACTAAAATTACAATTTTGATTGAATTGCAACTATTGTTGCTGCCTACTGTTATGATAATAAAACTGATTGGTTGTTACCGTTTGTCTTTGATGGGCCATAGTAGGATCCAAAACTTAGAGGAGCTGAACCACTTCCATTGACTTCCGGCACCTTAAGAAGATCAACAAAAAACGTTCTGGTTAATAGTGACATTGTTGTGCATCCCATTCCCCACAAGGAGGCGCACTTGCACTGTCATTCACTAACTTATCGCAGCGAACCTTGTACTCTCCAGATGGAAGTCTCGCAGAGTGATACGGGCTCAGGGGAGGAGTGGGGAGGCCAGGGGAGATGACCACCACTTCATGACTCATTTCTGGAGAAATAAGAATGTGTTCTGCAGAAGAGATCCCTCCATCCCCTGAGAACATTGTCCTGGAGCCATTTGATGTGTGCCCCTCTTCTGCATGTTGCTAAAAATAAAGAATACAAATGTAAACATACAGAGCTGATATCAATAAAGGAATGTGCCAGAGTCATTTCCTCCAGTTTGGTCAGGTCGTGTGAATTTGTTTGTCCAGAGAATAAACTGCCCCAGTGGGGAAGGCCCTGTGCTCCAAAATGTATTTAAAGCGATACCAATGGGAAGTTGTGGCCCACCCTCATCAACAAATGTCTAAAAATGCAAAAAAGGTCTTATAAGGTGTGTTCATGTTGCAGAACAGTTGGAGGGCAGGTGCTAATACAACTCTGTGGGCTTAGTCTATTTTGAAACAAATGTTGGAAAATAAAATGGTCAAATGTTTTTCCAGATCACTATTTGCCAGTGATTAGATTCACAAAGCAGCCATATCATCCTTATATATGAAAGTCCTTTTGATGACCAACATCAAGAAAATATTTTGAGAATATTGTCACCACTAGACACCTTTATGAGAAAATAATTAGACCATAGTTGATATGTACTGACAACGAATATGTGGAACTTTGTGACAACTGACATTTGACATTTGCCAGATGTTAACTTGAAAGATGTTTTCAACTGCCCTCCACAAAAAAAATGTAACTGGACTGTTGTGATGTCACATGAATGTAACCAATCGTAATTTTGTTTGCAATTATTTAAGTTATTAATTCATTTCAAAAAAGTATGTTTTTCTACCCCCATGGACTGCCACCTTGTTATAGAGGGGGAGTTTGCGTACACTCGGATAATCAGGTATAGTCTCCCATAGCAAGCATGTCCTTGATGCCGAAAACCACGATGGACACGACCATAATATCTGTGACGTCGCCCAGTATGTCTCAAAAACAAAACTGAAATAAAAAGAAATATTGCAATAAGACAGTTTTGCAAAATCGTGAGTCATACGGAGCTGTGGAACAGACATAAAAGAGAGACAAATCATCATTAACTCTGCATTCAATTGGGTTTTCTGTTTGTAGTTAAGGAGCGTAGCCAATGTTGATGAGGGGTCCCACTCAAAGTCCAGGGAAGGGGTCATAGCCCTGCTGTTGTCATGGTGATGATGTAAAAGCCCCACCCACAGAGTCTGGTGCGTTGATCAGGGTGGATACAAGGGGTCATGGGAAATCCCCAATTACAACTTCAATGAAGTTCATATGTCAGAGACACAGGAGCAGAAGCCTTCACACGTGTTGAACATATTTTGTTTATACTTTTAAGCTCTGACTGTTCAAAAAAACTGCAAAAAGACTTCTGGTGGTTCCAAGAGTGTCAAAAAGCATAGTGGCAGATTGTTTAGCTACCAAGCTAGTATACTGGAATCAGGGGAATCATTTTCCCATCCACATCAAGGAAGCAGACACATTCAAGGCCAGGCTTAAAACATTCCTCTTCAATTCAGCATATGGCTCCTCAGTATGTCATCCTTACAAGAGCAGTAGTCTGTTCATTTCTATTCACCCGCTGGGCCGTTGTCTGTTTCATGGCATGATGATGGGACCAATGAACCCTGAGTCTGGCCTTTTTCATCTGCACCTGTCGACCCTGGTCGACCCTGGCCTGGACTTGTGTGCAGCACCCCCATCCCTGCCTTATCACTTTTTACTCAATGTTTTTTGCAATTTGTTTTTTTTCCAATGCAGGAGGGTCTAAAGACAGTTATGATCCAGAACCCTATGGACCAATGGCTCCAATATGTTTGTTACTATTTTATTTCCTGTTTTCAAACTGTTTGATTCTCTGATCTGTTGTTGAGGAATTAACAACTTTGTAAAGTCCTCAGAGACAATGGTTGTGATTTTTGGCTATATACAAACAAATAGTATTGAAATCTATTAGTCTGTCCGTCCGGAGGAGCGGATCCCTTTCTCATATGGGTCTCCCTCCCTGTGGGTTTCCCTAGTTCTCCTCCAAGGTTTCTCACTTTTTCCCACTGGGTTTTTTAAGAGTTTTTCCTTGTCGATGCAGGAGGGTCTTGTTGGACAGTTAGTGTCCAACAGAAAGGATTGGTGATGATCAGGACACTTTAGCATTCTACAACATGTATGGACATTTTCTTCTGTGTGTGCTTTATACTGTATTCTTCATGTGTTTTAACTGTTGATTCTCTGACCTGTGTTGGTGATTTCAATGGTTTTGTTAAGTCCTCTGAGATGACTTCTGTTGTGACCTAGGGCTATACAAGAATAAATTGTATTGTATTGTATTGTATTGTAAATCGCAAATCAAATAGCCCGAGTGGAAATGTAATAAAGGCATTGGAGATTTAGGATGTTAAGATACTGTAAGTAATACTATCATCAGAAGATCATTTTTTGTTAATGTTTACAATTTTGGTGAAAAACAGGTACATAGTAATGACATTGTGATGTCTTTCCTCATGACAATCATACATTAAATTGAATTAAAATAATCATGACATGCTCATTTCGGTTTTAACTTTTTTTTGTGTCCAAAAACATAAAAATAAATGTGCATGTTTACCTGTGACTGCATGAGATCAAATTAGGCTTTTTGGTAGTTTGGTCTCTGGCATCAAATAGACCTGCAAAAAAGAATACATACATTGTGATCATAATTAATTTCACATATAGATACTTTCAGGGCTAGATTACCGTTTAACTATTAACAGTCACCTAAGAGAAGGTTTGCAAAATACTTTTGTCCATACTTTTCACATAAGCACTATATCAGCTGCTCTTGCAGCCATAACCCACACCTTACAAGCTAGCAGGTGCACAACTGTTCCATTTTCCCACTCTTCTAGAATTCCTACAAGGGAAAAACTTTGTCATCCACTTTCACTGTTGCTAAGGAAAACCCACCCCAAACAATGTGCGCGACTCACATTCCTAACCCATATTCCTGCTCTCTCAGCCATACAATCCCATAATAATCTGAATTTGAGAGGCTGGTTGAATGAGAGAGTCAGCTACAGCTACAAATACATCAGTATATGTTGTATTCTGATTCAGATCAAAGCTGTGGGGAAGTCAGATATGGCTTCTGCTCCAATGAGAGGCAGGATCATTAATAAATTATGTTATTTGTCTATACCAAAATAAACAGTGATCACAACAGGAAAAAAAAGTAGTCACAACATGAAAAATGAAGTGACTTGAACTCTAGGCTTTAATGACACTGATGAGTTGTGTGTTTTCAGCAGTGAGGCACAGATCATGTGGATAAGGAAGACTGCTAATATTTAACACTGCTCAGAGCCAGAGAACACTATAGGCCGGAGATGGAGGTGATCTAATATTCAGACAACAATGTCAGACAACTGAATCATCCTCAACCAAACTGCATTACAGAATGGAGAAACTATGAGTCTGTCCACCACAACATGATTAGACTGTTCAGGCTGAGCTGGAGCAGATGGCCCCTCTCTATCGAAGACAATCACATAGACTAGATTCAACTTCCAAAGAAAGTTAATATGATTGAATTGATTAAACATTTTTATTTGAACTATAAACCAATAAACACAAATCAGGCGGTCTGCATTTTTAAGACGTTAAACAAGCAATAAAGCTGTTGGCATCACATGTTACCAGCGCCTAATTGAAGCTTGCGTGCGCATGCGCCGAGAAGAATAAAACTATAAACGGAGTGTTAATAGTCCGGTAGCGAAACACAAATTTAACATAAAAGACCATTAGCTACATATGTCGATAAAAGCGTTCTCCTATTAGATGGTGCGAAAGATTGTTTCCGTAACATGTTTCGTTATTTTAACTTCGTTAACTGCATTAACCGTTGGGGCCTGTATCACAGCATCATGTCAGGGCGAGGTAAGCATCTTTCACAAATATTGAGTCTGTAAGTACGTGGATTCAAAAGTGGTGTAGATGACCCCATTTCACTGCCAGCAAACAAGACATTTGTTCCTAAATAAGGAGAACTCAACAAAGTCTGTCTCTTGTCAGGTTTTCTCCAAACATCCAGTAAAGTCTTATGCAATACGAAGGGCTGTCCAGTGGATCTGGCGTTGGAACAGATTCAGCCTGGTGAGAAAACCTTGATGCTATCTCTCTCAAATATGTGAACTTTACAGCCCATGTGTTTCACAAAGCTTTGCTTAAACCACATTTGGTCTGAGATGTCTTAGGGATGGAGAGAGGAAACGGTCCATAATTGGTCCACTCTACAACTGATTTATAATTTTTTTTACAGAAGATAACTTTTTACCCCTTATCACCCCCTTGGAATACATTGTATAACAGTTATTTCTAAATGCATTCATGACGCAGCTGAGTTAGAGCCTAGGTTATGTGATGGAAATAATTCCTTCTGTGTAAAGGAAATGGATCCGGTCCCAGAACGCATTTGGCCAGATGTGGCGCCATAAAACCATGGTATACAAATACAAATACCACAGTAAAAACAGTTTGTATCTTTAGAGTTTTGTGAGTCAAAAAGGCCAACTTAGCAGCAGATCAGTCAATCATTACCACCCTCATGTGATTCCAGGTAATTGACAAAATATATATGACCTTTCATACGCTTACACATTTGAGATGTAATTATTAAAGGATTTATCCATACAAAATAATGGCATAACAGTCACTCAATTACAAAAAAAATGTTGAAGTTGCTTATTGTCATTGACTGTAAAGGTGACCACACATGGGCTAATAATAACTTCCACTCTGTGTTGACCTTAGAAAAGCTGGTGTCATGCGGGTGGTGGACAGTATATTTTGTTTACACTGACCACATCACCACACATTTAGCTGCTTTGTGGTGGGCTTTTAATGATTCACTTAACATGGGCATTCAACATGGGAACGACTGAACAACACTGGGATATAACTATACATAAATATATATAGGTTACAACAGTTTAATGTCTTACCTACTGAAGCACGGCCTGCAAGGATTTGGCATCTGTTTATCTGTATTCACTACTTCTGCCGAGGGAACTCAGATTCTATATTTTAATGCCCGTATCGTTTAATTAATATCAACACTGAATATTGTTTATGGCACCAGTGGCACAAAGTTGTCAGAATACATCTCTGTTTCATTATGGTCAATTGTGACAGACCTCTTACAGTGAATACAAATATTACCCCAGAAAATAATTTGTCTTGCTCAAGAGCCCATAATTTCACTAGGAAACATTCAATTATAACCAGAGTCATACATGATAACAAGTACACTTTCTGCTCTAATCTTCAATATTTTCATTGGTTCATTGTTTTTTGTTGCTAATGTTGTCAGTGTCACACCTCTATCAGTGCTGTACACAACACCCACCTTATCAACTTATCCATTATAAATTACATAACACTGCTGTAAAGCCAAAGAATTTGTGTCTAAGTAGGTTGTAAGAAGGTAATTGTGTGTGTCAGCCATTCCTTGATAAACAGAGCTGGAATTTTTGTCCAAACACGTATGGAGTCATGGTGTTGTTATGTGTCAATGTTAGAGTTCCTGCAGCTTACGCTAATCCCAACACCCCACGGTGCGCCCCGTCTGCAGCTCTGCAGATGTGGGAATGCGGACACAGCCCTTACAAGGATGTGGAGCGGTGAGTTTATGATATGCAGTTATTGGGGGATACACTCATTTATCAGGGGAGAAGTCCTTTCCTTCCATGTATGGTGCTCCCTCACGTCCAAAGCAACAGAAGAGACATGGTTAGTATGCTTCTTGTCAATGGACAGGAACCACAGATCATTAAATCACACCAACTTTCCCTTCAAGCTTGTAGAAACCATGACGTTGCATCTGATAAATTAAATCCTCAAAATGTACTGTTAATGCACACAGGCCAAAGCATTAGAAATATGCCGCTAACTGTAACATGTGAAAATCCAGCAAATCTCTATGCCTGTCCTAGCACATGCTCAAAGCTGAGTGAGCCTGTGAGTATGAGAAGTGGCAGCTCAGGCCTTTGTAATATCACAAAGGAAATTATAGTTGGCTGTGGAAATCAAAGTGACAGAAAACAGGGGAGGCACTAAGTGGGCAGTGGATGGTCCCTGGAATAAGTACGACACAAAACAGTTCTGACAGCTCAAAAACTGTACCTCTGACCATTAAATTACCAATGCTAAGTAGGCACGCTTGCCATACTGTTTAAGAAGATGAAAGCTGGCATGTTGTACATTTCGTACACATAAGTTAAGCCCTCAGTCGTAACCACTGTGGACAACATGTTCCCAAACTTATTGCATGGATCATTCAGGTGCTCTGAAAAGCATCCTTCCCCCTTTTCTCTAAGACCCTATCCCAGGCAGGTGTGCGGCACTAATCCTTTCTAAGCCCTATGACCAGTCAAACAGGTTACCCAACCTTGAAAAACAACTTGGAAGATTTATAATCTTGGCTCTGAATGGAATTATGTCGATGAAATAGACCACAAATATCTGTAGTTATACAAAATGGTCGGACCTACTCACCTTGGAAAGTTGCACCAACGAGTGAACTCACACCTCTACGAATCAGTTGTACGCAAACCACGTAAACCATGTACACCACGTCCAAGCGTTTCTATGGCTCTGCTCTCCAAACTTGCTAGGACACACAATCACTCCCTCTCTCTGCTCAGATCCAGACCCCGCTCGACCGGCCTCAACACAGGACTTCCCGCTTGACAAGCATCGCCATAGCAACCTCTCCAGTCCTGTTTAAAACCTAGTGTGGGGCTCCTCCTTAAGTGAAGCGGCCCTATTGTTGTGATAAGGTGATAATTCACAGTGCAGGGTTAACCAAAGGGGAATAGTTTATCTCTGCTCAGACACTGCACTGACTCCATGACACTCCAATGAACTTTATCTCTCCCATGGGCTCCTGCTGCTTTGTGAACTTTAACGGCCACTGTTCACAATAAGAAATTCAGCTTAGCCCACCACAACCCATTGGCCCTTCCTGATAAAACAGACATCAGTAAAACCTTATTTAAAACTTCTGATTTTGAGTGTTTTATTTAACAAAACAGATTTTGACACATTGAATATTAATACTCAGAACTTTTAGTCAAACTAGAGACCATATAGTTTTACTGTTTGTTTAGTCTTTCAGCTTCACTTCATTCTATTACTCATTAATCCCGCTATGAGAGTGAATGAATCAGTTTGAGTATCCGAGTCCACTACACATGTTTTATGCGTGTGTTACTTTAAGTACTCGCAGCTCCGGTGGAAATACAAAGAGTCAGCTCTTTTTTAATAATTCAGTGGTCTGGCATGCTACAGTAGATATCCTTTAACCAGGCCTGTTCTTTCACACAGGGATGTTTTGCCAAATGGTGTAGGGCAGCTCCAGGGCTCTGCATGTGGAGCAGACTTTCACCCCGCTGAGAGCAGCTCTGACACTCAGTCACTCTGTGGCTAAATGAGGTAATCAAGCAAGAAGCCATTAGTGTAACACCTCTCCCACGCCGCATCATAGTTTTGTCTCTTTTATCTCACTAAACAAACACAGGACTTCATCTTTTCTGTTACACAGACATAATCAGGACAAGCGGGAAACTGGGGTCCTTTGTCATATATGGACGGACTCCAGCAGACAGTTACAACCCTGTAAAGGTCAGCCACCATCCTGTTGCACCACGCACTCCGTACAAAAGTGTTGTTCACTCATTGAAAAGGCTCTGTGAGTCAGTAGACGATGACATAAATCTGTTACATCATCTTAAACTACATCATTTATTAACAAGATCCTGTTTTTCCACCCCTTAACCTGGCTGTTTTTGGGGTGAAACATGAAAAGACATGTTAAGAAATGTTCCCCTACAACAAGGCATAAAGCTGCTCTGATAAGACTTCTGCAGGTATTGAAGTCACTCATGTGGTATGTCAAGGAAAATAAACAAAATGCACCATGGTTTACTCCAGCTGTAAACAAGAGCCTGTCCTAAAGTTAGGCTTAGGCAAGACACAGTTGTAGGAAGTTCATATATGTGGAAAATGCACAGTTGATGGTACACATTTGAAATATCATTGAATATCATGATGGGGACATACTGATGGCTAAGTGTATGCGATTTATGATAAAAAAATAACAGAGTGTTATGAAAAAATGTAAGCACAGACACTGTGTTCATCGTCATCTACAATGAACTATCTTCAGTATGAATCTGGCAAAAAGTCCTAAGTGAGAAGTTTGAGGGGAGTACTTACAGGCTGCGCAGTGAGCTGCCGTCAGTGCGGAGGACAGAGGAAGTGGATGAAAATAAAGGAGTGCTGCTCTGCCCTCCTCCCACTGGCTGTTCTCTGTGTCTCTGGCAAACAGGGTGCCTTTTATCAGCACAGAATGATTCAGCGTAGGTCCTCCTCGCTGTGAGACTGCGCTCCAGTGTGTGGCATGTGTTTGTGTGAGCTTCTACTTGAAATCTCATCAGGGAGAAGCAGCCCAGTAATAGTTTCCATCCACAGCTGGAAATAATAGAGATTCCCATACAGGCACAAGTCCACCCCCCAGTGTTTTTTTTTTTTACACAGAGGGGTAAAAAGGAAGTAATCAGCAAAGCTTCTTAACAAATAAACTGTCCAACGTCCACTGTATGATACTTTGAGAGTAACGTGTTAATGAGTGAGGCGGATGTTCTAAAGTTTTGTTTGAACACCACTAGATGGAGTCATAGACCACTTATAATGAAGCAATATGCGTTAAATTGAAATGAATTTACCCAGTACATTTTATCACATGCAAGAATTTAAAACTTATTTTTAAATTGAACACTATGATTTATCAGTTTGATTGATTCAAAAATCGTACAAATTTAAAGCAGATAATTCTATAGCTGTAAAGGGGCGTTATCAGTACTTTACTTTACTACTTATTTTTCTAACAACCCTTTACTTGTACTCCTTACATTTAATCCCAATTATCTGTACTTTATACTCCTTACATACTATAATGGCTAGTTACTTTGCAGATGGCCACACAACGTAAAAAGTGGTTAGCCACTTTTTACGTTGTGTGGCCAGACTGATTAGAAAATCAGTCTGCTTAAGTTCTGTTTTTATGTTAGATTCGTTGGTATATTCTCTGCCAGTTTAAATTATTTCTACATCAGTACAATGTGTTTTCACAGTCAATCAGTGTATTTCAAAGTCTGTCAATTATGCAAAAAAAAATTTCACTTTTTTGCCAAGTACAAATAAAAACTTGTTTAATTTGACTTAAGTAGGGGAATAATTGTCGTTGTACCGGAGTGGATTTATATACTAGTATCTATATTTGTACTTGTTTTGCTAAGACTATAGCGCTATTGCCATCTCTGCCTACACTGTGTGAATCCTCACTCTGAGCTCTGACACAAGATAAATATTTAACAACTTTGGCGCCAAAGGTCACATGTCTGATTCCACGGTATCTACCTGCTTTTATTATGATTAAGAAAACAGACACTGCAGGAACTCATGTGAGGATTAAATTAAGCACATTCTTGGCTTGAATTAAATAAGCTCTGAGCACTGATTTATGTGAATTTGTGTGTGTTGTTATCTGTTTTTTATAGGTTATTAGAGTATGTTGTGGGCTATCATGATTGCTGTACAACACTGCCCCTCCGCGGGTTTCCGACGAACTGCGTGTGGTGTTATTAGTTCCCTAAATGCACCGCCAGATGTCGCCAACTCGTTATGGAGTTTTCCTACACGACTGTTGTCTGAGCGCAGTGAGTATTAAAATAATGAAACACTATACAACCATGGCATTCATAAGTGACATACTGTTAAATGCTATTAAAGTTGTGTCACCTAACTTTTAATCAACTAAAAATTTAAGTATGGCACAAATTACTGTAGTTCCTTCCGTCTCATCTGATTTTTTTAGAGTGAAATCGAGAGGACCTTTTGCAAACAAAGAAATATCCTTTTTAGCATGCAAAAGATAACATGACATCAAGTTGTGGTCTGATGTACTGTTTTGAATAGAATAAAATATATTATTTATGTGAAATAACTGGTACCCCGCCAGCTTCAGTGTGTTCACGTTAAATAATAAGAGTCAGCACATATTGAATAGAGTTGAATATAAGTGATGATGTAGATACCCTTTTTATGTTTATGTATTGTCTATACATACAAAAAATATTTTCAATTTGTTTTATTGTTATTATTGTCCTTCTTAAACATTAAGTTAGAAATTATGTTACATTTGTATCATTTATATTTTTAGCAACCATAGATGTATTTCAGCTAGTTTTACTTTTAGAGTTATGTTCTTCTTAAACATGCGAAGTAAACATGAATAAATATAGAAACAATGTGTTTTATTACACAGTTCTTCATATTATTTAAATGTACATCAGACTATCATACACCAAAATAAGTTAAAACATGTCAATGTGTAGTGTATACATTATTATACATAAAGCTATTCACATTATTTATATTTACATTTGCTTTCTTTGCTGAGTTTTACAAGGTAGCAATGGTCCCACTGAGAAAAGGTTGCCTGCACAGTGGGCAGGTGCCGAATTCCTCCATAATTCTGATTGCACAGTTCGAACACAAGCACTGATGTCCACATGGCTTCACGATAATCCTGGCCTCTTTCCCCAAGCACACCACACAATCCTCACAGATGTTTTTGTCTGCAAAAACAAAGCAATGAACTATTGCAGTTCTGTAGACAGCAATTTAAAGTTTACTGTAACACAAATTGTTACCTGCTGAAGTCTGTGTGTCCAACTGTGTGATGTCTCTGCATGGTTCATAACCGGGGGCATTGTGACTTTCATACTGTGGAGGAAGACAGGACTTTCTTGTGTGAAAAAATTCTTTCTTCACTGATCCTGTTGACAAATACAGAATAACAGTTAAAACACATACAGTAAGCTTTGAAAGCTTTGAAATATCTAATGAACGCTTCCACGTACCTAATAAAGTAACTCCACACGTTTGACCGTACACATCAATCATGGCCCACAGTGGTCTGCTGATGTCCACACCTGTCAATAGTTTGCACTGACTGTTGTTAATGCTGACGTTCAAACAGCCGCTGTTTGAGACCCAGAACTCCAGCAGGGTTCCAGTCTTAGCCGCAGAGTCTCTCAATGGAGCTGCCCAGTATCCTGGGAGCTTTGTGAGGCAGGGGATGGCCATGCAGGGCAGCTCTCCAGCGCGGGTTGAGGGAGGGACAGAGGTGAAGCCCACACGGAGCGCTCCGGTCCAGCTGAGCCGATGTTTGTCTATTCTGAGGCGCACTCTCTCTTGCACCCTGACAGAGCGGCAGCTGAAGAGCAGGCCGTTCTTAAAGGTGTCAGTGTTGCGCTGTGCACATGTGCCACAGTCAGACAGGCGGATGCACTCGCCTTTTGTTTGAGAGTGGAAGGCCAAGGGTCCCAGGCACTGTGCAGTGCACCTGTGCACATCTGCAAGCACAAGAAGTCATGCATGGGTCAGACGATTATTGTTACAATATATAGTTTTGGTAACTGTGACACGATACATTTTATGATTATTGAGTGGAACCTAAATACTAAGGGACAGATTGACTGACTCCAGTCAAAGGAGCTTTGTTCTGTGTTTACAAGCCTTATCTTGCATGTGCGCCGAAAACTATATGTAGCAATACCTCAAATGCACCGCTGAGTCACTGGACTGTCACAGACACATGTGTGTCAATAGTGTTATACTGTATATCTTGGATTTGCAAGAGGAGTTCAATGATTCAAGATTTCAAGTGATACTATAGACAATAATAATAATTATAATAATAATAATTGTAATGATAATAATAATAATAATAGTAATAATAATAGAGATTTAATTTATACTGCACCTTACATTTCTAGGAAACCTCAAAGTGCGCAGATTAAAATACAATACCGCAAACAAACAACACGATGTAGAAAATGTTGTGAAACAAAAACATATTAACATTTGTTTTGATTTTTTTCCTCTGTAACAAATGTGTATACAGTAAGTATAAGTATATGAACAAATAAAAATGACATCTTCTCACCAGAGTTGCTGAGGCTGCCAGCTTTCCCCATATTGTTGTGTAGTCTTGTCTCTGAGTTAGAATTAGATCTAGTTGCTGTAGATTTCTTCAATGGCAAACAAGTCTGTTGGCGTTTATATGTATGTGAGCACGTGCATGTCAAACAAATATTTCACTTCCACATCACATCAATAATGGGAGGAGTCAAGTTGAAGGAGGTACTCATCATCATTTGGAAAAGTACCCAACAAACATTGCTGTTTCAGTTTCTTTTTGATATTTGGCTGTTTGACATTTGTTAAATCATTGTTACACTGCTCAGAAGTTATACATTTTACTGTAAGAAATAATTACTCACATTTCAGGTTTCAAATGTGTCAATTGATGAAATTATGTTGCTCAATAAGAGTGTGCGATCATAACTAGATCCAATTATAAGAATGCAGTGGCATTTTTCATTTTTCAAGAAAAGAATAGTGTCCAGTTACAAAAAAAAGAGTAAAGTTTGGCAATGATACCAGTGTCTTCTGGGTCATGTGAAACAAGTTGAGGGTGACATCATCAGAGCTGGAAAGTTACCGTTTCCCCTCTCCTTGTGACTAATGCTGATGTTTATGTTTATGTGCACTTCCAGACAATCTGACCACAATACTGTGAAAAGAGAGGGCGGGAACTCACAAATACTGCAATGAGGACAATTTCTGATCCAAATTGATAGTCATTCAATTTCATAAATAATCACTAAAATGTATGAAAACAATGAATAAAATCACCAGTAAAAAATCTATTCAAGAAAACCAGATTCAAACAAAGCATTGTATTCAAAAGATAATATGAAAAGAAGAGCAAAACATTATTTGCAATGAATACAAATTTAATAAGATTAGTTCACATTATTATTTGTGGAGAAAAGTATTGATATAGGACTAAATTGAATTGCTTGGTTCTCAGCTGTTCTAATGCTTGGTCAGGCATGGCAAGCCATCACAAAATCAAGTTGTTCCCACTCCACCTGTTCAAAAAACTATTAATCTACTCCCATCCAATACAAGGCTTGGCTTCGCTTGACAACCAATAGAAATGCTTTGAACCCCCCAGACCCAGGCCAATCCTGCTCTGCATTCAAATATATTTCGTCTTTATCAAGGTGTTTCTCCAAATCCACATTCAGTGTATTTATGATATCCCTGTGTGAGGAGAGCACTGTCAGACCAGGAGAGTATGGGGTCAGGGGGCTGCACTCAAGGACCATTGTGAGAGTTTGTCTGCTTTGTGGCGTATTCACATTTTATGACAAGCTTCCAGTGGTCTTATTTGGACAATTGAGTTTTTTCGTGTTCTGGTTTGAGTCAACACTCATCTTTGGGCCTCTTTCTGGATCAGACTGCGTTTCTGTCGCACTGAGACGTGGAAGTAGAACTGTTCCTATGGATCCAAATATTCAGGGTTCCTTCCTATTTAACAACAGCCTCAACCAGTTTTCATCTGACCTGAAGGCTCCTGTGTGCCAGTATTCAGTACCCAACTCTTTTTATAAGCTCAGCCCAAGTCTGAACAGCCAGCTGCCGGCCGGGACCCCACACGGGATCAGTGACATCCTGAGCCGCTCCATGATGGGAATGGGCTCCCCGGGCACGGGCGCTCTTCTTTCCGGATACTCTCCTATGGGAGGCTTTGGCCCGTCTATCTCCAACACACCTGTGTACTACACCCGAGACTACAACTCGCCCTTGAACAGCTTCAACAAGCCAACTTCAGAGTGTAGCATGAAGGGGCGCAGCGTGAGCTGCTGGGCTGACAGCAGCTGTGAGTGGAGGCCGGGTCGCCAGCAGTGCTCCAACAGTAAGTGTCTCTCAGTCTAAACATGCATGGGGGAATATAAGGGCTGCTCTAGTATTTATTAAATATATTTTATACAATGTAACTTAAATATGTTAATTGGTCAATGAATTGCATAATCAAAATAAGACCACCTCTTAGACAATAATGCTTTTAATTTATGTTTTTATTGTTTTCTTAGACAATGGCTCTCTCGGAGAGATGCCCAGCAGAAAAAAGCACACTAGGCCGACATTTAGTGGACACCAGATCTTTGCTCTGGAGAAGACTTTTGAACAGACCAAGTACCTGGCTGGTCCGGAGCGCGCTCGACTGGCCTACTCTCTTGGAATGACAGAATCACAAGTAAAGGTAGAATCAGGTCCAGTTGATGGACAGGCCAATACATCATTCCTCTGATGCATGATGAACCGGTTTGTGTTTAGGTGTGGTTTCAGAATCGCAGAACCAAGTGGAGGAAGAAGAGTGCGACTGAGCCCAGCTCTACTCAGATGTCGCACACAGGACAGAGTGGTGATGAAGACGAAGTGGAAGATGAAGAGTACAATAAGCCCTTAGACCCCGACTCTGATGACGACAAAGTGCGTCTGTTACTACGGAAACACCGCAGAGCGTTCTCTGTGCTGCGCCTTGGACCACACGTCTGATCCATGACCTGCATGCTGCAATCCACCGTATAGCTGTAATGTTCACAGTACCACAAGCCCGGAGCATAAGAGCGGCATCACTGAGAAACCCTTTACAAGGCTATAACTCACTTAGTTGAATAACTAGTTTTTATAGTATGGCAACAATAAATCAATAAGCTGAAAATGTTAAACTACAAATTATGTTCATAATTATAACGATATGTTGCTCGATTGAAAATAGCCTGTCCAACGCAAACACTGGTGTTAATACAATTGTAAGCTGTATAAAGGAGATGTACATGAATGTTTTCTATAAAAAATGAATATTTGAACAATAGGTATGCATGTGTTAATTGGAAATAAAATATCATAATTATATGACTAATAATTGCTTTCTTAATTAATTTAAGAATTAGCTGTTCTCTCCCATCACCCTCCGCGGGTGGTTATCCCTCTCTAAGTTTGGAGTCTCTTGTTTTTTAAACTGTATACAGTATACAGTATAGTATGATTAATTTCTTAAATAACATAATTTAAATAACATGTTAGATGTGAGAGATGACCTTCAGAAAATCTTGTGCTTAAATAACTAGGTATCTTACATGATACATAACAGCCAGATGACCCGCTTTGATAACGGCAAGTACAATGAACTACTTTTTGTTAAAATGGAAACAAAAACATGACCCTTGTAAATTATCTTTGTAAAGAAATAGGATTTATGCAATAGAAATGAAACAGTTTTTCGATCATTATACATTTTCAACAGGCATTTTAGGTGTTATTTATTTAAGGTATTGACATCATAGGGAAATTTGACCGATCCTTCAGTGCCAACGATGCCATCCTGTGTGGGCATTTGATGTGTAACCTGTCTGGAGCAGTGGGTGCTTTATTTCTATTTTGCCTATGGGCCAAAAAAGCAAAACCTTTTCATCCAAAAAAAGTTACTATTTTCTATAAGGTAGCAGGGTTGATTATGGAGATGGAAATGACCCAGTTATGGAGATGACCTAGTTATCTTTTAGGATGACACTGATAGATGGCCTCCTGGTATTATCTCATAGCAAATTATGAAAGGCAGGTTTAAATGTGTGTCATTGCTTGACGGGAAAACAGTATATTCTTTGAGTTTCAGATAGATATTGTGATTTGTTGGCACAGTTTTTTATAGTAGAAATGTGAGATTTTTTCATAAAATACACAATATTGCATTTTAGATAACATATAGTGTTTTTTCACTTATTATCATCATTTGGTAATCGATTGATTTGTTAGAAACAGTATAATCATCTCCTAGACTACAGTCAAAATAAATACATAAAAATCAAAGTGAAGAGAGGATCAAAGGCCAGATCTACAGTGGTTCTGTGTCTAAAGTGAACACAATGACTCCAGAAGCAAATTACCATCAAATCAATACAAACAGACGAGCTTTCTCCAGAGACGCATTGTTCACACTGACGCCAAGAACGGGACTCATGTTTGCGCACAGCAGAAAGCATAGAATAGTATGTCATATTTGTATATCCTATTATATTTTACATAGAGGGAACTGGCAATTTACATACACTATGTAAAACTATCAAATTACATTTCACTTTAAAACTATCTTTGTAGAAAGCAATATACATCATTCTAAATACTTACCATTGAGCAAACAGAAATATATGTGTTTCCATTATACTTAGACATTATTAACAACAATGTCTGCTACGTTGTATGTTCAAACGAAATACATTGTTTAATAAGTTTACAATTAAGAAACAAGCAGTTGTTGAATAAACCGTAAGGTAACTTGTTCCCTTTGTAATGGATAACCATCACCAAACCTTTATATAAGATAAGAGAATCTCGTCCTACAGTGGGGAAATTCCGATGTTGCAGCGCACATACAGGACAGTAGTAAGAGTAAACACACGGAGCACACAAAGCATACAATATAAGTCGCTGCTATGTTTATTAGCTAACTGCAAATGCTTCAATGTATATATCTATCAATCATATAATATAGCATTATCAATCATATAAATATATATACCTGGCAGGTGAACAAGTGGATAGATATATAAAAAGGTGAAGTGTGTTATGTATTTGATTCTCTGTAAATTCAATGGTGCAATCAACCTGCAATATTGGACTGGATGGAATTTCCAGGGATTAAATTTATTACTGTTCAAGGAAAATAATAGGTTTTCTTTGAATAGTAGGAGAGGCTTTCTCGGCAGGCGCTTGCAGCTGCTCAAACTGGTTTATGAGCTTTTAATGAGAAACAGACACGAACGTAAAATAATTAATATTTATTATATACAAAAGTTACAATGAACATTTTCTTGCAAAAATCTAATACTGGCCTAAAAAAACACCACGCAAACTGCCATTTCTCAAGTCTTACATTGTTCTTGTCTTTGTATTCTATGCACAAGAAACAATTGCGCTGTCGTCCAATTGAGCAAGACTGTGAGGCAATTATCAAACATATCGCAACTAAAACCACAAATGACAATAGGTTGCAAGGAGAAGTCAAAGTTGCATTTCTACACAAATGTGAACTATTGAAAATGTATTTTGGCAATGAAAGACATGTCTTCTCTGGGGCTGCACAATAAAGCACTGGTTATGAATTAACAAATAGTACATAATAAAACATGAATCAGTGACTGCAGTGACTATTACTGTTGAGTTTAACGTCATTAAAACGTGAACTGCCACATGTTTGTAAATCACATCTACAAACAAAAGTATTCAAACGATATCTGTCCTTGTGTTGTCATGAACATGCTGTGTTTTTCATGCTTCACATACAGTACAAAGGCAAAATAAATACCTAAAATCAGAACAAGCTTTAAAAAATAATCAAGCCATAACCGGCCAGTGTTTCGTCACTGCAATCCCTTGGTCATTTTACACACACACAAGTAAACACAAACATAGATGGTTAGGGTCATTTTAGTTAAGTTAACAACATTTACAGATTATTATTTCCAATATTTGAAAATATGATTTTGTTTAAAAGCCGATCAAATGTTTTGTTCTTTTATAGTAGAGAGATCATGCTGCTGGGTAAACCAATTCTTCAACATTTCTTGTAACTTGCAAAATCTGTGCAAACACACAATTCAAACACTCAGTTAAAAAAAAAGTCAATAATTATATAATAAATGTGTTGCATGTCATATTGGCCATTTTGTGTTGTGGATCAATTACAGTCTCGCACTAAAGGGAAACTCTGCTTTGTCATCTTCTGGGAATAGAACTTTAAGAGAAAAGGAAACTGAACAAATTAAAAAAAAATCTGTCTTTTGTTGTTTTTATTATTATTACTATTTGTTTCAGAATTATAAGGCAAGGCAAGGCAAGTTTATTTGTATAGCACAATGCATACACAAGGCAACTCAAAGTGCTGAACAAAATAAGAAAGCATTAAAATCATAAATAATCACAGAACATTAAAAAGGAAGACACAAATACTGTATAAAATCCCTCAGTTGTATGCACTGCTAAACAGAACTGTCTTTAACCTGGTTTTAAACATTGTCAGAGAGGAGGCCTGTCTCACATCTTCAGGAAGACTGTTCCAGATTTTAACAGATTTACACAAAAATGATAGCTTCAGTTGTTATTTTACATGTTAATCCATTAGACCAGAGGTTCTCAAAGTGGAGGACTGGTCAAGTAGCGACACATGATACAATTATTACAAGCTTTTCCCTGTATTTCACCAATTCCATAACCTGAATAATGTTCAAAATATCAGATTGATACGTTTGAAAACACCTAATATATACATTAGATACTTTACCATATACAAATAATCCTTATTTTTGAGATTATTATTCATTTAAAGAAAATAAAAAACAGTGTTACATTTTTATGGTTGATTTGTTTTAATGCTATCATCAGCGTGGCTTTCGGCTAGCGCTGCTCTATCTGTCAAATGTAATTGAAATCCCCAACAGGCATCTCCATTGTTTTTGTGACTCTAATCATTCTGCCTGCTTCTCAAATGGTGTGCTTGTTAAAAAGCTATAAATTTGATAGGAAATAAATTTAAATGGCATAGAAAACAAAATCATGACCGTAAAAGTGCCAATAGCCTGTCCAGCCCAATATATGTGTCTCTGGCCAGCCATCAGGGCAGTAATTATTGAAAAGCCAGTCAGAGATGCAGTTAGCACGATGCAGCGGTGTCAGTGGGGAGGATTCAACACACATAGATCAGGGAAAGTGCTGATCGGCTTTAGTTTAGTGACAACACACACACAGGAGCTCATGTCCAGGCAACACTTCATCTTAGTTCATAATATCCCAACTCCAGTGGAGCCGAGCAGCTATGGCTCTCCGGGGACAGGGACAGATTACACTGATCACTCCACGCGATGAGCTAAAACATTGTGTTAAGAGTATGAAGTAGTGTTTTTACCGCGAGGAGGAGCCCAGTCAACGGTCGTTCGTCTTCAGAGGAAAGAACAAGAAAACAGGCTACACAAAGAAAATAAACATAGAGTTAACGTTGCCACTGTATGACTAAAGAATAATTTAGATTTTTTAATGTTGAGTTATCAAGTTGTTGAGCAGTAGAACATGTGTGTTTCATAGTACTTTCATAGTGATTGAAGACGAATATATTTTTCTGACACATAAAGCCGTCCTCTGCATTTGACCCATCCTTGCACTGCCACCTGTCAGCAGCTTTTAAATATATGCTTTTTGTTTAAAAGCAAATAAATTAAAATCTTCTGCTGGTTAAGAATACAAGAAACTATCACATTAGCATAATTCTACATTTTGAAAAATAAGTTAATTGAGATCTTTATGCCATTTTTTATTGGTGCACAATGTATGTGTGGAAGAGTTTAATACAAAAAAACACTCCAAAATCCAAAGCACGTCCACTAACCCTAACCCTAACGCCCAATATACTCATAAACTCATATTAGTCATACCTTATGGTCTCCCATGCACACGTTGGGACCCACGGTGTTGTAGACCAAGCTGTGCTCGTTGTCCTCTGTCTAAAAAGACATTTTCAGTTAAATGTGTGCTCCTTTATGGCCAATGTAATAACAATGTAATAACAATGTAATAACAATGATAATGCGATGATAGTGCTTTGGACTGACTGAGTGTAGGAGGAGGTCCTGGACGCAGTGGGACATGAGGATACGGTCGCACCAGGCGGGACAGCGTGTGTTCATGTACTGGGTCGGCTTAGTGTAGTCTTCACTGTAAGGGTAACTGACAAAGATGGGAAATATGCAAAAATTTCAACAACTTTAAGAACAAGCTTGAGAATACAGTGTTATACTCCAAAATGATTGTAATATAACAAAGATAATTTTCACTGTGTAGACACATTGTTTACACATGTTTTCTCACCTGGGGGGAAACTTGATAGCTTCTTCACTTAAAACATCATGAAACGCTGAAACCTCTTTGTCGTATTTTAAAAGCTATAAACAACAAAAGTGGACAGGTTACTGGGGTCACTGCTGTTATTCTGTTTACGCCATGCAACTGAACTCCAGTTTATACTTTGAGCATATTTCCTTATGACAGACGGGCCAGACTATTACATATTTCATGCAAATGTCTCTAGTCATGGATACACATCTGCATGCTTTCTGGTTCAGTACACAAACTTACTGTTATTATTCAGTTCTGCATGCAGGATCAAAACAAACCAGTAAATAACTTACCGCTTTTCCATTGTCTGCCCGGAAAAATGCCTGATGAAGATAAGTGAACAACTTCTCCTCAATGTGAAGTAATACCTGCAGGTCAAACATTTCACTTGTTAAATGAGGTAAGGAATTCAGCTAAAGTAACAAACAATGAATCAATAACTAATACATAAAAAATAATAGAATCAATCAAGTATATTAATTACTTTATGGTCATTATCTTTCTCCTCACAAATGATCTTCTCCACCTCATTAGAGCTGTCCTTCTTCACAGTTTGGACCTCAGCTGATGTGGACAGATGCTGTTCACAAAAGAATCCCAAATTAGTAAAGAATCACTGCAAAAACAGAGCTTCTCTTAAATTATCATAATACCTGAACAAGATTGAGTGCATCGAGACGGAAGTTGAAGTCTCCAAAGAGGATAAAAGGCATGGGAGTGTGCTGATTGTCTGATAACCTGAGATGACAAAACGTTGTTGTTTTGACAACAAAGATCTTACTCGGATGAATGTAGGTGAGAGGATCACGACAAAACTCAAAGTCTGGTCGAAAATACTGCTTTTTTAAGTGATTGATGAACTAGTAAATAATGTTTAAATGTAGTCCAAACTAGAAAAAACCAAGTATCATCATCTAAATATTTTTTACAGTGTTCTACATTCACATTTGCATGTGGTTTCATATCTAACCTGTTAATGACATATCGAAGAGCGTTTTTGCGGTTTGCAGAGTAAACAGAGGGGCTGGAGGTGCAGGCAATCAGGTTGGAGGCATCGTGGAAAAGATGGATGTTGACCAAGTCCAAAGCCCTGCTCACATGCACAGAGCCATAGTTATATATGCACAAAGCTACAGCCAACCCAGTCTTATTATAGAGCCAGTTGGAGAATACAAACAAAAAATGATGTGTTCGCAGTGTCAAATATTCTCAGTGTTCTGATTTGTAGTCACTGGAAAATGGTTAATGGGACATACATCTGTTAACTGCTCTACTGATTTACAGAACTCAATTATTTTGTACAGCACCTAAATCAGAACAGCAGACAATTAAAACACATAAGAGGCATTGGTCTCGTTACTGTCCTTAGATCCTTTTGCATCGGCCACAGTAGTTGGGGTATTAAACACATTTAAAAAAATAAATGTTTTAGGCAAAACAGAACAGATTGAAGTGTGTGTAGATGAATAAGGTAAATGTTAGAATCAAAGCTTTATGGATGATCATTTTGATTTATACTGGTGATGACCTGATGGTTTTCCAGATCATTATCCACTCATAAGGATAAACACATTTTCAGTTCAAAAATGCAGTTATTTCCTTTTTTAATCCTTTAGGACTTCCTCCCATCATTCCTCCCCCATCCACTCACGTGCCAGTGCAGTTGTGAAATCCTGTGAAAAACATCTTCATGCTACAGCGACGCTTAAGCCTGTTTCAGCTGTGATTGTAATTCAGAATTGTGTAATACTTTACAGGATCATTTCTGTAATACACCGACACTGTCCATGACTTTATTCTATTGAATAACAGAAAATGAAATAAATATTGATGGGGCTCAAAACTCATAACTGTCACTTTATGAAAACATAGATCGGCCCTCGTGACATTGTATTTAATTCATTTATAAAGGACTTGATGCCTGATTATCTGTTTTTCAACTTGAACTGAGCACAAGATTGTAGACCATATATTTGTTCGTACAAATACTGAACTTGGAATGAGGCTTTGGAATATTTTGCAGTATTTCTAAATTTGGTCTTGGAATTGTATAAATATAGCTGCAGTGCACTGTTTTATTGCTGTTGTGTGTATATAGTAGATTTGTGTTGAAACAGGGCGTTTTTGAAAAAGAGAGTCTGGTACTCATTGATCCCTTCTGTATAAATAAACATGAATATAAGAAGTGGAAAGCCTTGAAAAAAATAATAGTAAGAGTGTAGACTACATATTTTTACATAAGCATTAGGTGTAAAATAATATTAAAGGAATATACATGTTGCTACAAGGTAGTGATGTGCGATTCGTGAACGAATCGTTCAAAACTCGAGATTCACTTTACTGACTCGGGAGTCGTGATTCCCCGCCTCCATTAACTCGTTCACCAACTCGTCCGCCCACCACTTTCTAAACTGCAACCCCCAGACTGCGTTTTCTACTAGCCACAATGAATGACACTCTAATATTACGTGTGTGACTGTGTGTGTGTGTACTGTAGCTCGTTTGAGCACAGAAACCAAAAGCTTATTGTTTACAACCATCTACTTCACCGTAACGTCCTCATTCCAGCCTGCCCGCGCCTGCTAGTACGAGCCGTACGAGCAGTGAACGACTCACTGTGGTTCTGGATCAGCCCCTTCCCGCTCCCCTTCGAGTCGTTCAACTCTGAACGAATCGTTCATCTGATCTGACTCACTCACTCACTCAGCATCAAGCGAGTCGAAACAACAGGACAGGACACCGACTCGTCTCGTAACTCTCGTTCTCTAACTGGGTTGAAAAAAGTAGTTTCTTTTGCCCCATCTGACAAAAAATAATAACCCTCTACATGTATTATGTGAGGTAGATTGAAAAATATAATTGGCTATTTATTAAGTTATTTGTTCAGCTGTGTTTCTCTCGTCGGACAACAGGAGTTCCGCCTCGAACATTATTGGCGTTACAATGATTGTCATCAATAAAAAATGAATGTGTGAAAAATATCAAAGTTGTTTGTATTTATTATTTATATAATATAATTGTTATGACCTTTTTTTTTTTTTTTTACCAGGAATGTAGGTTTTAACACGGAATACATTTATGTAACACCACATTTTTGGCGGAAAGTTTTAAATATTTTTAGAGAAAATGGATAGTAGCCGCAGAAGAAGCGATATTTGGATGCACTTTGAAATAACAGGCCCATCACGAGCAAAATGTCAACTCTGTTCGTGTTATTGTATTTCTTGTATTGTGACAGCCCCTCGCTTGGAATGTTGTTGCTGCTTTGTTCACAATTTTACTGTTGAATTGTTAAATTTAAAGAGTTTATATTTTGTCAAATTAGTTTACATATTTGTTATTGTTACCATTTATCAAATTTTAATAAATGTTTTGATTGTAAATTGCCATTTTGTGTTCATGTATGTTTTTTTCTGAACAACTGAATCACTGAATCAAATGACTCAAAACACCCGATTCACTTTGGTGAGTGATTCACTTTAACTCGAGTCAGTAAAATGAATCAAACTTTACATCACTACTACAAGGTGATTTTCACGGGTCTGTAAAAAAGATCCCTCTGCCAGTGTTAAATAAAATTGGGCATAGGACCAAAGCTTTCCTACACTCTCGTAAAATTGATGTCATATCGTGTATTCAAATGTTGTGTTGTCTTTGCTTCTTTTGCATTATTTGAGATCTATTTCTTGACAATTATTGTAGTAAAATGGAATCAACACGATCACAAGGAACTTAATTAACAGTGTGCTTTTCTCTTTGGATGTTTTTGTTCATCTTTTTCTATTCAGTAAGGGACTTCTGCGCTTTCTCTCAGTTCTATTTTGTGTTTATACTGTATTTTTCTTACTCTACAGTCAAGTTCAAATGCTTCAAATAACTCCAACGACATAACCAAACAAAGGTGTGTGCGCTCCATACCGATTATGAATGATCCAGCGTGTCCTCATGAAGCCTTTTCTGGACCATTTGAACTGAAACACAGACAAGCGAGCGTGAGTCGCTAAACAGCAGTGGTCTTTGAGAGGCCAAACTGATAATTATTGATCCGTTCACATAATTTGTCTCATCTCCTTGTCAGGGGCGGCGGACAGCGCTCTGCCCCAAAAGACTCATTTGTCCCCACATCTCCCTTTGGTCCCTGATTCCCCCTCCCATTACTAAATCCACACACACACAAACTCACAGTCATCTGTTTATACTTACGTCAGGCCAGAAATTCTTTGGGAATTTTTCTTTCTGCACGGTAGCGACGCCGTCCAAAGAGCCGACATGCTTGTTCTGCCCGGGCACGGGTCTAAAATCCTTCACTGTGAGAGGGAAAGGGGAGGCGAGGGCAGTGACATGTAAAAGAGTGATAAAACATGCAAACGGCAATCAATAAACTGGTGTTAACCTCATCAGAGCAGCATACGCGATGAAGGGATCTATAAGAGAGACATTAGCGTGGAGAGGCAGACAGCAGAACGCACACTGGCAGCTCACTTCTTTATGGTTCTTCCATAAGTGTTTGTGAGAGGATTTTTCACCAATAATGCGACCGGACTCATGCAGCAGAAAAATACAAGACTTTGACCCTTCCAACATTTTACTTATATTCCTTTTCACTGGAAGAATAATCCTCATGGCCTTAAGCAAGTTTACCCTTATTTCATGTGCAGTAGCGTTTTTGTTTCATTCAAAGTAGCATTTGTTTCTAACCCTTAAGACTCCAAACAGTTCATCGCAAAAGAAAGTGACTTCTACAAATGTGCCTATTCTATATGTATGTACTTGTTATTTGTAGTCCTCAATATCTCTTATAATGAGTTTAAATATTTTCAAATAAAGATGAAAAACATTTATAAATTACATTTTACTATTACATACAGTCATGGTATCAATATGACATTTTCAACAAGGGAAATACGCAGCCATGTTTAAAATAATTCTGGTTATGTTTACATTCTTCATCATCATTTGCCTTATACTCTGGGATGTTTTCAAACTTTTAAATTGAACAGTGAAACAAGTGTATGATACTGTGTTTACTAGGACTAGTTGGAGAAAGTGTGCCTATATAATATAATATTGGTCGGATGTTTGTTTACGGGGAGAATTCTTACCTTTAAAATCATATTGCAAGATGTTTTTCAGTTTTTTGTGAATGAAATACATGCTTCCCAGAGCCTGTAAAAAGAAAAAAATACTAAATGTATGCAATCTTTTTAAAACAATAACACTTTTTGCAATCATAGTTTTAAAGTGAATGAGAGTAATGTGTGTCAAATAAGGACAACCAACACACACTTTCTCCACACTCTTCAGCACCAAATCATCCCTGACATGGCCTGACACTTTTTAATGTACTAACTGCCTGCTCCACTGATCTGATTAATCATTCCCCTTGAGATCAATAAAGACAGAAAATTAAAACAATTTAAAAGGTATTAGGCAGTGAGGCTGCTGTCTGCCTAAGAGCGCGGGTGCAGAGAGGGGTGAAAGGCGTGACCGTCCCACACAAACATGAGAGATCAGTTTGAGCTGTCAGAATAATTCTTACTTCATAAAACTAAAGCACCTCTTTGACTAAAATGTGCACCTAAAAGACTTTTTCATCTGATCAAAAGCAATAACAAGCAATAACTGGTAATGCTTGCCCATGTACTGTGGGGTGTGATTTGATTATATTAACAGATATTTTTTAAATGTCTCATTTTTGATGATAAAACAGTTTGTCTGATCATATGACAACCTCAAGTGGCTTTACTTTAAATTTAGAACAAATCTCATATTTGTGTTCTAAACAACAATAATTGCTTGTTACAGCTCAACTTATAGTATAACTTTGGGTCTAAACTTCCAAAATATGCCATATTTTGGAAGTTTAGACCCAAAGAAAAACATTTCCACGTAAACAAACAGGAGGCCTCCTCACCAGGTTTGTGGAGATACAAAAAAAATGTGTCGGTCATTGGGCTAGTTACATTCTATGGCTTTAATTTATGAGAACCATTACATTTGTTGGGCTGAACAAAAGTAGATGAATTATATCACATGGTTGTAACAGGAGGAGATAAGTTTGTGAGGACATTGTGGTAAAACTGGGGAAAGTGCACATGTGAACAGTCCGAGCACATTCTCCTTCACATACTCAGCCAAACAACGCTCTTCATCAATCAGGTTTGTGCACAGTTTAATAAAAAAATATTGACTTACAAGTGATTTTTTATCAAAACACCATTTGTACTGGGAATGTATACGCAAGTCTGCCCCCTCTGCCTCTACGAGCGAATGTGAAAGGAGAACTCCCCAAACCGACTCTTGGCCCATATAACTGATGATCCCCCGCCAACAGGAAACAAATTGAAAATCAATGCAGGTGGCACAGACCAAATGAGAATGAGACATTGTAGGGCTGGTGGGGGCTACTGCAAACCTCTTAGGGCGACCACTGGAACAGGGTGCAGAAGACTTGAGCGCAGGGAAACTTAACTCCCAGCTGTCCGCCAAAGCCTTACAGATTATTTATTGTGCACAAATAGGCCGGGATCAATAGTTTTAATCTAGAGTTTAATGCATTGACTTTGGCCTGTCTCCTTACACCTGGACATTGACTTTTGGCTCTTACCTTCCACTGGTGCACAAATTGACCCCTACTGTCAGATATCCAGTGTAAAAGTATCACCTGGGAGGAGTAAGGGTTAATAGTACTTCGCTCATATACAGCATTAGAGCTGTTGTAGAGACAATTACAGTCACCCAGGTGTAATTCAGAGGTCAAAAAGAGAGTTGAATTTCATTGCACCAAATGACATTATGAAGCAAGTATTTTCCTTGAACCTTTAACATCCAGTGGAGCTTGAACAATAGATGAAGATAAGAAATGTTGTTGAGTAACATATGACTTAATAAGTCTCTGAACCAAAGACTTTCAGTCCAAGCCCAAAGATCGTCACAGCAACATAGTTTTGTACTAAATCTCTGTGATCAATGTGGGTAGACCAGTCAGGGCACATACATGCTTTTTTCATTTTGTTTCCAGTGAACACACAAGAAACCGATGCTTGGTTAATCTGATGTTGCACAGGGGTTAGCTCTCATTTATAAATACTGGAGAAGGATAGCAGCAGTGCTTCACAAGCAGGTACTGTACTTGGAATAATTACTGGTTAAAATGAAAAGTATCAAGATTCAATCATTTAATCCATTTTTTGTGTGTGGTATTTTTACTACATTTTACTTCCATGGGATAATAAAAAATTTTCATAATTATCAAGAAATAAATTCTAATTATTGGTATAGAATAAATATATGAATGGTATAGTTAGACGGAGAAGCTCTCTCCTTCTGGATAAATCCAGTTTAAAAATTGTAAATGAAGACATACTTTTTCATCAGTCTTGGACAACACATCAACATAACATGCACAATGTAATACTGAATGAAGACTAATAATTGCATCAGAGAGAATGTTTTTACAGTCATTTTAAAACTTGTATTATATCTCATTTATTTTAGATATTTCTTTATGATTATAACAAAGACCTACACAGAACAAGAATGCACTTTCACATGGAGAAGGGCGCTCTCTAGTGGGGGCATCACACATTACATATGCGGACGAGTTCTCACCGTGAAGCTGTCCTCAGCTTGAAAGCGATTATCTATGTAGATACAGACTCGATCAAAGTCTCTCATTTCTTCACTTTCCTCTATGCTTCTGTAATGGCATTAAAGTAAGAAGTTAAGGAAAATAGATTATACAAATAGAATATATATATTTAAAATGAGTGACGGTAGATAACATATAGTTGCTGTTAAAGGAGCAGTATGTAAAAATCTGGCCAGAAGTGGTACTGCAGTCACGCTCCCTTGACTCAGGTTGCCAAATAAACACCAAATCCAGCAGCAAACACAAGGAATTATTTTATCAGTTGTTTGTCTGTCTCCATTCACATTGCCATGATAGCTGTGCTAATGTTGATTGAATGTTTTGAATTAATGTTTTTTTATTTTTTTTATTTGGACATTTGAGATGAGAAAAACAAAATAAAAGCAATTCAATTATACATAGATTATGCAAAATAAATAAGCAATTGATGTCCAAAATAGGTGTGGGAAGAATGGATGTTGGAACATATTTCTTCAGCGTATCAACATCAGGGTTTCACCCTTCAATTTTATTTATTCCCTGTTTTTTAGACATACATGTATAAGTCCCACATCAAAAAGAGACTAACATTATTTCAATTGGGTTACATGCGGTCTCAAATTATTATGTTTTACAAATAAGATATAATCTGCAAAAAACTTCTTGATTATTGTCTTTTACCTGTTTTTGAGAAATCAAATCAGTCAGAGAAATCAGTCATAAAATGTAATATTATGCAATTAAAAACAAGCAGACATTGCCCGGACTCGAACCTGGCGTCCCGATATAAATCCTTGTTTTAATCCTTGTTTTGTCATTAATGATTTGAGAGTCAAAACAATACCTTTTTTAGTTCTGCGCCCACATGTTATTTTACCAGTGAGATTAGCCACGAGAAGTTTTGGCAACACGGATCACTGACTTCCTGATTGGCAAAACAGCAGCGGGTGGGAAATGAAAACAATAACAACTTTTACGGCTCGCAAAACTAATTTTGATATTCAAATATCTCGGCTGAACTACTGTTATCAGTTAAAGATGTGTGTAGATGCATGTCAATGATGACTTGACATGCAAATATTACATATTGCTACTTTAAGTAAGGCGTAAGACAAAAATATATGTATTTTTAGAAGACATTAGAAATTAGACATTAGAGTGTTAAACGAGTGTTGAATAATACTCACAAGAAGGAAAAAATAAAGTTTAGTCAATGTCTCCACCTAGTGGCTTGTGCCATGTTGTACAACTTCACATAGGGTCAATATTGTACACTGTGTGATTTTGTGTTTGACTGCATTTAAACAAACAAAGCCTTTATATAATTATGAGTGATGTACCAGCTGACAAAGTGACATATAATATAATGTTTCCTTTCAGCAAATCTTTTCCATACAGTAATAATTTGCATTCTCTTGTCACAGAACTGGTTTGTGCTCTAAAATGTCTCACCTGAAGAAGTTTTCAGCATAGCCCATGTTGGCTGTATAGTCTTTTCCTCCAACCTCTTGAAAGTGCAATCCGACAAACTGTGGCCGGTAGGTGTGGATTGTCTACAGAGGTAGAAATATACAGTGACTTTAAGACATTTGGAAATGTCTCATAATTAGCATACACATTTCATGCACTTGCCTTGTACAGCTCATTCAACCATTGACTTTGGATCTCGCCAACCTGAAAAAACCCAGCAAAAAAACAGAATTGTCTTTATCTTAGTGATAGTATATTGTTATCAGAAGTTCAGCAGTAGATTAAATGAGTTCAAAAGCTGACTTTTCAGGTCAAAATTTTGTGTATAAAGTAGGACACAACTTTTGCATTGTATTTGCATGTGTGCTTGAGACAGTGACAGTCTCAAGCACAATGTAACATAAGACACTACTAAATTATTACAACTTTTTTTGGGACTTGTTGAGGTCTGCTCTCATTTTGAGGGCAGGACAAATGTTGATGGCTTATAAACAGAATGTTAGTAGAGATGTTAATCTGCTTACATTTCAGCCACAAAGAGACAAAAACGGAGCTACAGGCTTTCCATGACTCAGTGAAGCAGTGATCCTTGTGCAACATCTTTCTGGGTAAGGTCTTATTTAAAGCAAGAAAGTATTGCATCATAAATATTGTGTTCATGCCTTAGCAACCACTGTCAAAACATTGTCTTTGAAGTTGGGTTGGAGCCTATGTACATCTTGATAAGGAAAGAGAAGGAAGGCCATATATGGTTCTTTTTTTTTTTTTTTTTTTAAGAATGCATGAGTAACACTTCAATATAAAATGTGCAGAAAATGTATGCACTTGTTATGTCAAAAATAATGCCAACAATCTTATTTCAGTCATAATGAAAAAAATGTATTCCAAAAAATTCTAATAGTATATATATTTTCCACCAGGGACGTGCAGTCAGGGGAGGCAGGGGAGGCAGAGCCTCACCTGCCATTATTGGAAACTAATAATTATTTTAGTTTAAATATATAATTTATATCCACTGTCCTATGCTTTTAATGTATATTCGGCACGGTTCCCATCAGTTTTGATCATTTCTGAAGTCAAAATCGCCGAAATCCCGTTATTCCTATTCAAAGAGACGAGGTGAGGCAGCGCTCCTGCGTGCCTCACCCCAGACCGCTCCCTCACAGTGTGTGTGTGTGTGTCTGAGTGCACTCAGCTCGTGCAGTTGATATATCACCGTTTGTTTCAAATATCCTGCTTTAAAAACATTTTTTTAAACTCCTCTTAGTGTTTAGTAGTGTATTGCACGTATGTGTGTACAATTTATATTTAGTTTAAGTCTTTTGATCGTAGATGAACACACAAGGAAAAAGCTTGGCGTGAGGCAGGCGGTATCTGTGCCTCACCGCTAGGGGTGATAGTGAGCATAAAGTTCATACCAGAGTTGCTAACAAACAATCAGCCCAAAATGCTATTTCTTTTGCTGGAAAATGGATGATTTGAATGAAGATTTTTTTTCTCAATTGGACTTTCAAACAAAGAAAGAATTAATATAGACTGGGAGACCACCACTGGACTTACGAGGTTAGTCCGGCTGCGGGGGAGGAGTTTGTTAATCTGTGTTTTATGTTGAACATTGACAGATACCGGCAAAGTAGTGCTTTTCCGAAAAACACTGATTCAAACACTGCTCAAGAGTTCTGCAACTTGTTTAAATTATTGTTTATGTTCCTCGCGTCTCTCTCTCCTCGCGTCTCCGTCTCTCTCTGCTCCTCGCGTCTCCGTCTCTCTGCTCCTCTCTGTCTCTCTCTGCTCCTCGCGTCTCCGTCTCTCTGCTCCTCTCTGTCTCTCTCTGCTCCTCGCGTCTCCGTCTCTCTGCTCCTCTCTGTCTCTCTCTGCTCCTCTCTCCTCGCGTCTCTCTCTCCTCGCGTCTCCGTCTCTCTCTGCTCCTCGCGTCTCCGTCTCTCTGCTCCTCTCTGTCTCTCTCTGCTCCTCTCTGTCTCTCTCTGCTCCTCTCTGTCTCTCTCTGCTCCTCGCGTCTCCGTCTCTCTGCTCCTCTCTGTCTCTCTCTGCTCCTCTCTCCTCGCGTCTCTCTCTCCTCGCGTCTCCGTCTCTCTCTGCTCCTCGCGTCTCCGTCTCTCTGCTCCTCTCTGTGTCTCTCTGCTCCTCTCTCCTCGCGTCTCTCTCTCCTCGCGTCTCTCGCACCTGCGCTTCTTAAAGATGTTGTTTGATGCGGAGCAGAGTCAGCAGCTAGATTTGTTGTGAGATTATTAAAAGAAGCTGGTTCTCTTATCTTTACAGTATATAAAGTTTGTGGATGTCATTGCATTGGTGATTAAATGCTATTTTATTTGAATAATGATTGTAAATCTGACTTTTAAAGTCAGTGCCTCCCCAATCACAAACCTCACCGCACGTCCCTGTTTTCCACATATAAAGTACTTCATAGGGGCATGTAGATTACCAACTAAACGTGCTCACAGACATCCATCCATTTAACATTGAAAAGTTGCGGAGGGCAGCAGTCCAAGCAGAGCCACACACACTTCCTTCAACTCATCCGGGAAAATCCCAAAGTCCCAGAGACATAGTCCCTCCAACGTGTCCTGCGTCTTCACTGGGGCCTCCTCCCGGTGGGACATCCCCAGAACACCTCTTAAAGGAGGCGTCCAGGAGGCATCCGAAACACATGCTCAAACTCAACTGGCTCTTCTCAGTGTGGAGAAGTAGCGGCTCTACTCCAAGCTCCTCCTGTGTAACTGGGCTCGTCACCCCATATCTTAGGAGAGTGCCCAGCCAGTTTGCAGAGAAATGTAATTATACATTTTTCTATGCGTGTCCACATGTGCCTTTTATCATATCCATAGTTACAGAAAAGTTCCATTCACTGAAATGTGGTCACTTGTCTTCAAGATGCTTATGTACAGTATCCTTACAGTGCTTGTTAATGTGATTGATTTGCCAAAAAACATATCCATGTGTAGCGAACAGCAACACCAGGCCATGTTACATGTCAGCTCTGTGGAGAGGCGAGAGCACACAGTAACAACCATGCTATTCACAGGAGTGTCAATTATTCTTCATTAACACCTTAACTTTAAGAGGAAGTTATGATATGAAAAACCAGATCCTTCTATTCTGCGCCACGGAGACGAGTACAAGCAGATGAAGCAGACCATCCTCTAGAGTCTAGAAAAGTTACACAATGGAACTTTAACCTGTGTTGGTCACGTGACTTGCATCAGTAGTGCCGTTAAGGGATAAATACTTCTCACGTGGCCCAGGTAGCGAGCGTTATGCTATTGTAACTTAGCAAGAGCTCGTAAAAACACTGTACCAGAGTCTACAGCCACAATGTACAACACAACACAAGTAGAAATGGTTAGAAGTAGTAGTACTAGTAGTAGTAGTAGTAGTGGTAGAAGTAGTAGTAGTAGTAGTAATAACAGTAATAGCAGCATAATAGTAGTAACTTGTGGGGGCACTCACATTATCAAAGAGTGAGCCAACATTGGCGGTCACTAGGAGCACGTCGGTGTGTCTCTCCATGGTCCTCCGCACAGAACACGGTCAGACTCAGTTCTCTTCTCCTCTCCGGCGGACAGTCGCTCTTCCTCCACAGGCTTACCGAATACCGAGGCTTTAGGCCGCTGTCGTGAGCACCCTCCGCAACTTAAACGCGCTCAGAAACAGCTCGGCATCTCCGCAACTTGCACGTCAGGTTTTGTTTGCGGATGGCGGGCTGAAGCTGTAAGTCACACGCAAGAGCAGAGTCCACGTCCATGTTGAAGGGAAACCGCGAGAAACTTTGCATGTATGCGTGGATTTCCGCCTAGTCTTTGCTAATTGGACTAGTATGTTCTTAGCGGACTTAGACCGGCTGCACACAGCATCTGCTGCTTTCAAGGGACGCACAAGCCAAAGCTTATGTTGACAGAACTGCGCTCCGCCCAGAAGACTTGTCAACATAAATGTCTTCCTGGTTTAACACATTTGAATTACATTTGATCTATATCCACTGTCTGTGTGCCAAATAATACTCCCTTGCTAAACAGTAAGCCATATTTCTAGAGGCGATTTGTAGCCCTTAGAATTCTACAGTGTATGGTTTTAACACTGCCTCCTGGAACCGCTGTAAAGAGGTCCGGCTTTTCGGAGTCAGAAGAGGTCCGCACATTAAAAGCGGGTTGCCGCTTTATGCTGTTACTTATGGTAACATAGGAAAGAGAAGCTGCGGGGATGAGCCGCCACAATGCACTATTTAACATAATTTATTTTTATTTTGTATAAAAAACCTTAGAAAAAGCTTTCACTGCACACTTGTTCACTGTGATGCTCTCTACTACTGTGCAAAGTGACATTCACTTTTACTGTGGAAATTGCAAGAAAATGGGGGTCAAAGTTTGCAATATTGATCCAAAATGCACTTTTTAAACTCAAATTTAAAAAAAAACCTAAAAAACCTTTGAAAACGCTTTCACTGCACACTTGTTCACTGTGATACCCTCTACTATTGTGAAAAGTGACATTCACTTTTACTGTGGAAATTCCACAAAAATGGGGTCAAAGTGTGCAATATTGATCCAAAATGCACTTTTTAATATGATTTTTTTTTTTTTTTTTTTACTAAAAAAACTTAGAAAACCACTCTGCTCCTCCTGATTCCAAGATTCGACCATCGGTCGTAGTCTCCTCTCCAGTACCTTGGAGTAGACCATGGGTTCCCAAACTAAGGCCCGCGGGCCGGATACGGCCCGCCACGCCTCTTTGACCGGCCCTCCACCTCTGAGCAGCTAGTTGCAAAAAAAAATAAATAAATAAATAAAAAAAAAAAAAAAAAAAAAAAATGTATTTTATATATTTTATTTGGTTTTAGATAACACTAAAATATTTGTATTAACCATTTATATTTATATAATTGCATGTGTCTGTATTATTTTTATGATTTATCGTTATGACCGAATTTCTGCCACCTCACTGATCGAGGAAGTCATGCGCAGAGAATGGGTGCGTACCGATGTTCCCCGGGTCCGATGTTCCCCCACTTCTATAGGCGGGGGAACATCGGTACTTCGCGTATTAAAAAGTCCCGATGTTCCCCGGGTCCGATGTTCCCCCGCCAACAGAAGTGGGGGAACATAGGGACTTCAACAACAAGACTAGTCCCGCTGTTCCCCGCGTGCGCCCTTTGATGTTTGATGTTTCCTCCTCCACGAAAGATGGCATATGATCCGTGCCAACTTTTGTGAGAGAAAAAATACTAACTAGCCTAAGCCTATTTACTTTTCTTTTTCCCTCTCGCTCTTTGTGTGCTCATATTTCAGCTGATCGCAGCTTGAGTCTATGCAGGATATTTTTGGCCATGTTATGGGCATGTTATCTCCCCTTGCTCACTCTCCCATGGGCATCTATATTTGACAAGTCTGACTGAATAAAATGAGGACGATTGAAACTAGAGCTACTACATCTGTTAGCCTATAGTTTTTCCAAATACGTGGTTTTGCTGAGGGCACTGTGCTTTTACGCATAATGGACACGCATATGACGTCGTTTTTGTTGTAAAACTTGAATATGCTCTTTTAGTTTTAGAGATATTAATACATATTATTCTATTCAGAATGCGTGCGTCATTGTGCATTGTTGTCCCGCCTTACGTGTCACTCACAGTTAAAATGTAAATAACCAATTCAAACATAGCATTTTTACAACTTGAGCTTTAAGAAAAAAATGATCAAAGGAATCAGTGTAAAATAAGATCGGAAAAGCTCAATTCATGATTGTTTAATTAGGTTTCCCATTTCTAAATACAATTGGAAACGCTCAGAATTCAAAAATATTGAAAAGTGTATTGGCTCCTACAGTGGGGGGAATAATAATAATAATATAACCCCCTGAGCGTCATCACGTTCCTACGTTGCTTCAAATATAGTCCTGTTTATTGGCTGAACAATTTTGTCCAATATCATATTACACAGCGTGAAGCGAGAACAACCAGCTATTCCTCGTCTTAAAGATTGACAACGCTCTCAAAGCATTCACAACAGAGCAGCCTTTTTCATTTTAATTTTAAGAAAGTTCAGCGTGAACTTTGTGAGGTAGAGGAGCCAGAGGCCCGGGCCCGTAGGTCCCAGAGGAGGAGAGCGCGGTCAGGCCAGGCTCGCCTTGCACTGATGAGGTAAACTCTAGGCCTGTGTGAGACACACTGTGGGCCTCACTGTAGGCCTCACTGTGGGCCTCATGTGGGCCTCATGTATGAAACCTGCGTACGGCCAAATCAGGGTAAATGAGGCGTACGCAAAATATTACACTTTTCCGCATTTATCAATCTGGACGTGAGCGTACAATACGCAAAAAATAAACGCCAGGTCTGGAGGTGGTGTAAATCTATACGCTGAACTCAACCTTCGGCACAACACGCCAAAACATACGCATGAAATTCAAGATATGTACAACAATAAACATATTCCCTCTGGCAAAATTATATGCTGTGTTTTCATTGAGATATCATGTTTCAAAATTTGAATTTGCGCATCAGAAAAAGTCTAATGGAAACACGCAAACTTCGAATAAATCACAGCTCATGATGAGGACCCTCTATTAAATCTGACTTGTGTGTGTATTATTTTGATCTGTATGTTTTTAAAATGTGAAGCGCTTTGTGATCCTGGACAGTCAAAGGCTCTATATAAATACACATACGCAACAGGGATGTGTGACCCATCTATTGCTGTGGCAGGCTCTGCGCTGCGTAATTACGCACGGCTATTTGTATTCCTCATTCACATCTGGTAAAGCAATGTGTTATTTCATTAGATTTGTGTAAGCCTCACACAGACACACACCCCAATAACGCATCGATGGTATTGCTCACTCAAACGTCTCACTGCCCTGTCCAGAGTGCGCAGCGAGTGCCGTGAGAGGTCGCGCCACATGTGCAGAAGTTTTGGCTCCAGAGTTTCTTTGTGAAATCTGGACCGCAAACGCTCTCTGAAGTGTACAGCGCCTCAATGCGCACTTCTACCCCGAGCCAGGCTGCGTCCAAGACGCTGCAGACGCTTCATTCAGAGCCACCGCTGCATAATATATATGAATTAATTAATTAATTCAATCAATCTATATTTATTCACTTCTACAATTCAAGAAGGATTTTTCTAATGTATCAAAACATTTTGGCAAATTGCGTAAATGGAATATACACCCAAAATGTACATCTTTTTCAACGCAAGTTTCATAAATGAGCTTGTGTGTATGTGCGCGCGTGAGTGCGTGTGCGTGCGTGTGTGCGTTTGAACCATATTCTTTGAAACCCCAATTCCAGTTAGCCCTTGTAGTTTTCAAGCGAATTTGGCCTACTTACTAATCTGCAGGCCTACCCAAAATTGCAAACCTGGCGCCAATACTGTTGCGAGGATGAACGGAGGGAGATATGTTTCCAAAAAGAAAAGGTGGTGGAGCTAATTTTACTTTTCTTATCTGCAACACGTTCTTATTCTGAGGTGGTAGGTTGTAAAAATGTAGTTGGCTACCAATGCGAGATCTACAAGGCTTATAATATAAAGTATTCAGTAGCCCTATGAGCGAAAGCCGCTTGTTGCTCCATTATCCGCGCGCAGCAATAACATGTCTATGAGCGAGGCCCGCAGTCGGGGAACACCGGGCCCTCCGGCGTTTGGAAGGTCCGATGTTCCCCGGGTCCGGTGTTCCCCGCCCCGGGGAACTCCGGACCCGGGGAACACCGGACCCGGGGAACACCGGACCCGGGGAACATCGGGCCGACCCCCAGAGAATAGCAGCAGTTGAACAGCAGTGCAATGGCGTGCAGTAAAGTGAGGAAAATTGATCGAGAGTGCCGGGTTTTTAATGAACAATGGACCAGGGATTATTTTTTTGTTCCATGGAAGGACCGTGCCATTTGTATTATATGTAAAGAAAACGTGTCCGTGTTTAAAGAATACAACCTTCGCCGCCATCACGAAACCCGTCACAAGGAGTATGCTAGCTTGAAAGGGGCAGCGAGAGATGACAAAGTTCGGCGACTGAAAGGTGGGCTAGCAGCTCAGCAGGATGCCCTGCTCCGTCAATCACGGGCCAACCTGGCTGCTGTCCGAGCAAGCTACAAAGCAGCTAACCTACTGGCTATTCACGGCAAGCCGTTCACGGACGGTGAATTCGGGAAGGCTATGATGCTGGCTGTGTCTGAGGAAGTGTGTCCAATCTCATCCCTTTATGCCAGGTTTCCAGGCAGCAGGAGAGGGGACTGCAACTGCTGACCTCAAAGATCACTGCCCATCACTTACCTGCCCATCCATCCTTCATCCCACCTTGGTTACAGCAAGTACAAATTCACTGCACATATTGCTGACTTCTGTTACTCTGTTATTCTGTTACTCTCTTCCGAGTGCAAATTGCTCTGTCTCTCATCTCCTCTCAATCTCTTCTCTCAGCATCTCTCTCTCTCTCTCTCTCTCTCTCTCTCTCTCTCTCTTCTCTCTCTCTCAGCATCTCTCTCTCTCTCTCTCTCTCTCTCAGCATCTCTCTCTCTCTCAGCA